ATCAATCCCTGACTCATTATCGCTTTGTTTCTAAAACGATGACATGACATAAGTCTATGTGTACATTCCCAACACAACTTCTGAGGTAAATTGTCATCTTCACTCATCTGTAATGTAACAAATCAAATATAAATATAATAAATCACAAAATTGGATTGCATAATTGAAATATTGAAGCCAAAACTCACCAACAATCCGGTAATTTGTTGGTACGGCAGATCTAATTTATAATCTATTATGTGATAAAGCTTTCTATCCATAGCTAGACATATTCTGCATACCTGTAAATACAAAAAAAATATAGTAATTCGAACTTTTTCATAATACCATCCTTCCCATATTTTCAGTACAGTATAGAAAATTAACATAAAACTTCAAATAAATACAATTTGTTACTTAAAAATCAAAAGAAATCGTGTGTGTACTAGCTGTCGCACGCGACTCCGTCCGCGCGGGATTAAAAATAGATGTTGGCCGATTCTCAGACCTACTCAATATGCTCACAAAATTTCATGAGAATCGGTCAAGCCGTTTCGGAGGAGTATGGGAATGAAAATTGTGACACAAGAATTTTATATATAAGATATAGTACCACACAGGGTAAGAATAAAAATTAACTTATACATAACTCATCAAGACTAAGTATTATAAACCCACATACTTATGTACACTCAAAAAACATTACCCTTCCAAGTCAATCTAAAAAACCTCAACAAAATTGCAATTATTTTATATACCTTTAGTACTGCTGATGAATTTAAGTCTTCGTTTGAATCCTGAAATAAACCATTACATATAAATGAGTAAATGAGTATTTACTTAATAATTAATAATCTATCAAAATGCCAGAGACAAAATTTCACTTTTTTTTAAATAGAATCTTTTAGGGCACACGTCTTTAATAAAGAATACCCAATCTTTATATATATAATTCTTCTGTGAGTGTGTATGTCACTGAACTTCTCTCAAAGGACTGGACCGATTTTGATGAAATTTTTTGTGTGTGTTCAAGGGGATCTGGGTATGGTTTAGATTCACAATTTTGTCCGCTGGACAATGTTTTTTTATTGATTTTTAATTTATTAGTAGTTGTTGATTTTGGAATGGTTTACATTGGATCCGACAGACAGCGCTACCATCGCAGTGTCAAATTTAAAATAATATTCAAATTAAAGACCGTATAGACAGGACAACGTCTGTCGGGTCCGCTAGTTACAATATAAAAATCTATCCACCTATTTAGGAACATAGAGGAGACACAAACAAGTCTTGTCTATATTTATAATTAATAAGGTTGTTATTACTTGTAAAAGAATTGGTACGGCTCCATTCTTGATTTTCCTCAGTCCAAATTTAGTTTTATAAAAGTCTTCAGATCGGAAATGTTCAGAGCATACAGTACTGCGATATTTTGGTTCCCAATCCATCTTCCCAAGAGCTTCTAACCATTTGGTGCGCAAGTTTGGTTCTTTCGGAAACCTGGCAAAGGATGTTTCAATACCATTAATGAATATAAACTATGGATAAAAATAAGCGTATGTTATGTTATATTTTCAATAAAACAACATAGATAATAAGAAACTAGGTTAAAAAGTTAACAAAACTTACATATGAAATGTAATGCCATGACGTTTTGTTGTTCGTTTCGTATCATTTGTACAATTTTGTACACTACACCGCATTATTGCGTTTTTATTTTTTATTTCATATTATTTATGTTTTAATACATAATACTCGAGTTACATTAGAACATTTCTGTTTACAATGTAACAAAACAACACGGACATAATAATATCGATTATAATGTAAAATTCATCGTTTTTAAGAAAAAGATTTATTATTTGGCGTTTATTAATATTAAGAAAAATTATTGTTAAGTTTAAATGTATTAATTTGTTTTATTTGTACTTAAAAAGCACTGACAGAAAAGTATGAAATGTAACTTGACATGACGTATTGTCTCAACGCAAAGAGCAGAGCATATCAAAGACACAGTTCTAAATTTTTATTTATTAATACATAAAGTCTTAAATCTATGATATAAAATAAAATTTAAAAAAAAAACCGAATAATTAACTAAAATATGTTATTAATAGTTCTAAATAGACTTCGAGCACAGAAGCTTATATTAATTTTTTCGTGAGTGAGTGAAACAGACTTATAAAACTTATGGTCCCTTGGCGCGTATTATACGTCAAAATTGAGAAGTTCATGCTGTCAAATATCAACGGATAGAAGATAGCTTTTTGGATGACTTTTCCGAAGCCTCTTAGAAATTCGTCGGGTAATCTGGGTAAAATGTAAAAATGACGGAGTAATTCGCATCAATATTAAAGTGTTTTTGTGATATAAAACAAAATAAAAATGCGCTGTTGTGCTCCGAATTGTAAAAATGATTCTAGACAATTGTCTAAATCTCAGGGAATCACCTTTCATGTGTAAGTTTATTTAAAATATTACATTCATAGTTTTCCCATACTTGAAATCCGGTATAAATGTTTATTTACAAGAAAAACATATTTGAATCCTGTCTTCGTCCCTTTTATAATTTAATAATTGGATAGATAAACAACGATATTAACTTATATCATACTAAATCGCATTTACCATAGTGCAATTTCGTTGTTTGTAGTTACAAAGCAAGTAAAGGCAATTTTTTTTCTTAATACTTAACAAACTCCTTTTGATTATATTTTTACGTCACTATCAACCTCAGACAGACGTAGTAGCATTTATTAATACAAATTCCAGATTCCCCATGGAACAGTCCCTCCGTGCATCCTGGCTGAAAGCATTGGGTAAAGAAACCTGGGAAGCAAAAGAAAGAAGTGCGGTTTGTTCCGAGCATTTCAATTGTGACGACTTGTATGAAACTAAGAGTGGCTTACGTAAGATAAAACCAGGAGCTGTGCCAGTTATTAAGGTTTGTTCATGATCATCTGCTGTAAATAAGTCTCTTAAGACACGGAATCTATTACTTCCTAGCCTTATGCTAACCCTTGCTTTTTTTTTACAGGATATTTCCGATAAAGAAATGCATACTTTAATGGTAATTAATTTTAATTATCAACTTGATTGAATCTGGATAAGTTTGAGACTAAGGGATGGATGTGGTAGAGTAACTTATGTCTGTTGTCAAACCTACTTCCCATGTCAAACTGAGAGAGTGGTATTCTGATAGTCCGGTGAAGCGGTGATGTGTCTCATGGTCTTATTGTAGTTTAGAGAGAAAGTATAATATTCTAAACCATGCCAAGGTGGGATCAATGCCATTTTTTTTTCTAACTTATAGAGGTATCTCTAACTTGAGTTCCTCACATATCCAGGTTCAACTATAAATTTAATAAGATTATTCACTGACTATAATTTAATCATCAGCTCACTATATATCCCCACTGAGGGACTCGGAGTCTACCCTAAGTTAGACTATGTGATAGTGAATGCTGACCCAGTGCAAGACTTCACACATTTTGACTTTCTCAGATATGTGCAGCATCACGATGTTTTCCTTCACCGTAACAACATACAATAAATGTACATATGTAACACATTGATACATGACAGGATTTGAAACCAGTTTTATGAAGAAATTTATTTATGTTTTAATTTAATTTACAGGTGTGCAGGATTTGTCTGGCAGTGGATAGAAGATTGTATTCAATACACAAATATCAGTTGGATCAGGCATTTGAAGTTCTGACGGGATTGAATGTAAGTAAAATAAATATCCTCAGTCTGTGCCCCTCCTCTGTCGATTTAAGGTAAACAATGCATCTGCAATTGCAGATTTCTTGTGTTCGCTTCCCTCTTTTAATGATTTTGAAGGCCTATTTGTTTGCGGCTTTATAATGTAAAAAAAAGTATTTGTATATTGATTTGTTACTTATTTTTTTGTAAAAATTATTGTGTCAAAGGTTTTATAAGTTTTTTTATAAACTTACTAGTTGTCGCCCGCGACTCTGTCCCCGTGGATATACAAAAAACTTAATTAGTGTAGCCCACCCATCCATCCATTCACATCACGTCTATCTAAACATTCGCATTTATTATATAAGTAAGTTAAATAAAAAGCAGCTCTTCAAAGCATAAATTCGAAAAAATGAATAAATAGTAGCCTATGTCCGTCTCCTGGCTCTAAGCTACCTCCTCAACAATTTTCAGGCATATCGGTAAAGACGTTCTTGAGTTATAAATAGTGTAACTAACACCACTTTCTTTTATATATATAGATATGCATTTACCCTATGTTGTTACGGTGAAGGAAAACATTGTGTTGCACATATCTGAGAAAGTCAAAATGTGTGAAGTCCTGCACTGGACCAGCATTCACTATAACATAGTCTCACTTAGGGTAGACTCCGAGTCCCTCAATGTGGATATATAGTGAGCTGATGATTAATTAATTGAATTCACAGATAACGGACAATCTCCCACAGCATTTGTGTTCAGAATGTGCACACAGATTACTTTCCTGTCAGAATTTTAGAAGACGAAGTTTACAATCACACGAACTTATGATGGAAATTATTAATAAACAAGAAATTGTAAGTACATATTCGACTAAATTAAGTAAATTATATATATAATAATAATCAATTGCTGTTTGTTAGTCTCGTAAAACTCAGCTCAAACAGTGGTAGAGCCCGCTTTAACATCTTCGCATGAATTGGCCCGGCTCGACCAGTGAAATACCACGACCACACAGAAGACAGGCTTCAAGGGCGAAGCAATTCCAACTACAGTCTGATGAGTGTGCGTCTCGGAGACCTGATTTAGTCCTCTTTCCCTTCCCACCCTTTTTCTTATAAGGAGAGTGAGAAGTGGAAGTGGACTTTCCGGTTGAGAGGATGCATGGAAAGGAAAGATATTTTCTTTCTGTGCATCCTCTCCTCCGTCGATTAAAGGTAGGCAACGCATATGCAATTGCGTATGTCTATGGGCAACGGGCACTTCTCTATTTCAGCAAAAAATTTACACCTTCCGGAGCAAAGGGTTATTGACGATAACATAATAGCTTTTTTAAAATATAGCAATATTTGTAGGTCATCGGTTACAAAATTGACCCAGAAGGTGTATAATTTTTAAGTTTTTAAAAAATGCCATTTATTTTTTTTAATACCCAGAGGGGAATTTTTATTTAATTTTTCTGGTGACCCTTGTGACCACCCCTATCATCCCCCTTCCTATGTACCTAACCTTTTGGGACAACCTGTATATATATTTTTAGACATTTATTAATTACAATCCTTTGGCGCGAATTGCGCGCTGACATTACAAAGTCAAGTGTCAGAATTAGTGAGGGGACATAAACATTTTAGTAAGGCTAGTGTTGTGCCAGTACACCGGCAAACTAAGCGCCAATAGCCTAATGCTTAAGGATACGAATTTCCGATCACGAGGTCGGTGGTTCGAATCCCGTCATTCGACTATTGTCGTGAACCATATCCTAGCACAAGTTCTATAGCTTAGTTGGAATGGTAAAAGAAATATTAGTAAATTTACAAAAAAATACTGTCGTATTTTCTTCCTAACTTATAATGTTAGGAAGAAGACAATTATTTTTCAATATTTCAGCTTACATTAGAAAATATACAGACTATAAATAAAGAATATGATTTAAAATCTAATCTTACGATAAAATATTACGATCCAAATTATTACGATTTCAATGTACAATATGAAGAGAAATCAGAAATTGAAGAAATCGAAATAAAAAATGAAATATACATAGACGAGAATAATATAAAAGAAGAGGATTCCTCTGATGATAGTCTACCATTAGAAAAGAGAAGGACAAAGAAGAAGGTGATGAAAAAAAAGAAAATTAAACCTAATGAACCGAAGATTGACAGGAGAAGGAAACCTTTTCTTAATGACGATTTAAATGAAACACTTTTTACCATAACTGATTTGTCTTTTGATGAACAAATAGCTGAAATAGAGAAGAGAAGAGATTCCTCAAATTATAAAAACTCTGTATTCAAATGTACAGCGTGTTATAAAGGTTTTTTAGACGAAGATGCATATAATAGTCATATGACAAGACATACGAATGTAAGTTTATTTATATATATATTAATTTGTGTTATTCCAGACTATAGACTGGCTGAATGGTCAATTTGACTTGCAATCTGCAGGTCTTGGGTTCGAATCCCGCCATGTATAAATGTGTTTTTCGATTACCGATTTACATATGTACATTTATCCGACGTTACGGTGAAGGAAAACATCGTGATGCTGCATATATCTAAAGTCAAAGATATGTGTGAAGTCAATCCGCACTTGGCCAGCGTGGTTGGCTATGGCTTAATCATCCTTAACTTAGGGTAGGCTCCTAGCCCCTCAGTGGGGACGTATGGTGAGCTGATGATGATTCCAGACTATGTTCTATATGTATGTCAAATTTCAGTGATATCAGTTGTTCTGGAGATATCTAACATACATCTAAACATTCGCATTTATAATATTAGTAAGATTGTTGACTGTGGGTTTCTAAGACAAAAATCCCAGTTTAAAATATATTGTTACCTCCGTATTGTCAAATATAATGACAGGGATGATGATATTTTTAATACAAATATTTTGGCCTTAGAAACCAACGGTGTCCTAACCAAATAAAAAAATACAAGCGATCGTTTGTGACTTAGTCTGTGCAGGATTAAAAAAAAAGTGTTCTATAACATGTCCGTGTACATCAGCTACCTTCCAGTCCAATTCCTGTCACAATCTGTCCACACGTTCCTGAGATTGCACGGAACAAACAGTTACCATCAGCGCCAAAATCGCGGAAATCAAATAGGCACAAAATACTTACTCTCATAGCCAGTCCATTTAAAGTCAGTGCTTCACTTATATCTATCCTTCTCTTACACACTGATGTTTATATATCTATCCTTCTCTTACATACAGATGCTTATATATCTATCCTTCTCTTACACACTGATGTTTATATATCTATCCTCTTACATACAGATGCTTATATATCTATCCTTCTCTTACACACTGATGTTTATATATCTATCCTACTCTTACACACTGATGTTTATATATCTATCCTTCTCTTACACACTGATGTTTATATATCTATCCTTCTCTAACGCGTGTATAATTTTACCAGCAATGCGGTGAACACGAATGTGACATATGCAAGACGCATTTCAAACATCCGCACGCGTTACGTAAACACGTGACTGCGCATCACACGCAGAGATTCAGCTGTAACCAATGTACATATGTCACAACGCATCGGTGAGTTATTTACATTAGTTTTATAAAAAAAAAACTAAAAAAAAAACAACTATTTTTACTCTAAGGCACTCTTTATATGAATCGTGACCTAAAGGTGTATGTTACCAGGTCATAAAATTAAAAAAAAAATACGAATCGGATGACACATCTCTTGACATACAGGATGTTATAAAAAGAAGTCAGTACAAAAATCTTACCTTGTCACTCTCGAAGTTTTAATTTCTTATGTAAATTTTCTTCCTATAAATCCTATATAGTAAATTAGGGAATAGATTTTGACAAATGAGGTGTCATTCGATTCGTATTCTTACAAACAGTGTCATAGGATATATTACATGGATACAAAAAACATATATTGGATGTAAAAAATAAAATTCTAAAAAATAACAAACTTTTTTTGACATCTAAAAATTTATTTTTAGTAATAATCAATGATCACTTAGTTGGAATAAAAAAAAATTAAAATGCACTCAGCATTAGTCAGTCAGTCTAATTTATTGCTTTTTTTAAATCTAAGTTAAGTTTTTATTTTCTTGAAACATAATTTTAATAATAATTTAGTTAGTTTTTATTAGTTACAATCATTTGACGCAAGCGCACTTTGGTAACAAAGTCTTGTGTCAGATGTAGTGAGGGAACATAAACGTTGATATTTTAATAAGGCTAGTGTTGCGATACACAAGCACTGTGTCGGATTTTCTTTCTAATATTATATATTTGCATGTCAGTCAGACAGCGAGACTGCACGAGAGATGGCACAAGGGTACCAAATATCAATGTCCACACTGTCAAGAGGAATTCCTGTAAGTAATTATGAGTTAAAGTTGATTTTTGAAACCAAAATCTCTGTATAAAACATATCTGTCCAATATCTTTGACATAATAGAGATAACATTTTTAAACTGGTCTCAGAAACCCACGGTTAATTGATTTTGAGAGTAATTTTGTGTTAAATATATACGAAACTGAATAAGCGAGAAATTCTTTAGAGAGAAAACTCTATAAGCGAGAAACATATCGCGATGTCTCTAACTCTCGCTTATCCAGTTACTGTTGTACATATTTTGAGAACAATTTTGACTTTACTAATTAATTTTTATGTGAGTAACTTACAGTTAATTAATTATTTTGTAAATAACTTAATTAAATATGTCCGTGTAACTTTGGATTAACCGAAGGAAAATCATCAAAATTGCTTATATTAATAACTAGGTGTTGAATTAAAAATAGTAGTCTATGTGTTCTTCCAGACTATGTTCTATATGTATGACAAATTTCATTAAGATTCGTTGAGTTGTTCTGTAGATATCTTCTAACATACATCTAAACATTCGCATTTATAATATTAGTAAGATTATTAATATTTTCAGTAAATTTACAACATACATGGGTCATATTCGTATAAAACATCCTTCAGACTTCGTATGTGAGCTTTGTGGATATTCATTTGTAAGTGAGAAAGGGATAGAATTACATAAGAAATTGAAACATCGACTCGAGAGTGACAAGGTAAGATATATTTTTGTACTGACGTATTTATGTAACATCCTGTATAGTAAACGAGTGAACATTTTGACAAATAAGGTGTCATTCGATTCGTATTCTTACAAAGAGTGTCATAGGATACATTTATTTGGATTTTTAAGGTTTTTTTTAAAATTAATATCGTACTTTAAAATCGTCTGAGGGTCTTGGAGTCTATAAGTGAGAGTATGTGATAGTGAATGCTGGTCCGGAGCAAGACTTCACACATTTTGACTTTAGATATGTGCAGCATCACGATGTTTTCCTTCACTCTAACATAGGATAAATGTAACATTTGTACACGCCGGGATTCGAACCCCTGCTTACATGTTTAACCTCTGAGCAACCGACTGTCTTTAATTATAGGTACCAGATGATGGTCCGTTCTGTGAATCTTGCAATGTAAGGTTCATCTCACAGGAAGCATACAGAAGACATTTGATGGTCTCCGCAAAACATAATACTGGTGATAAGTGAGTTTTATAGCTATTTTGATATCATCATCATCAGATCACTGCATGTCCCCACCGAGGGGCTCGGAGCCTACCCTAAGTTAAGGGTGATTAGGTCATAGTCAACCACGCTGGCCAAGTGCTGGTTGACTTCACATATATCTTTGAATTTCTCAGATATGTGCAGCATCACGATGTTTTCCTTCAACGTAACTTCGGATAAATGTACATATGTAAATAGAAAAACACATTAGTACATGGCGTTGTACATTTTGATATATAGATTATAAAAAAAAAAATTGTCGGATAATCTATGGAACTAACAATTTTTTTTTATTTTTGTAAAAGTTAAAATGTGACATATTTTTTTTAATAACAATAGTTTTTTTAGTATGTTATTATTCCTTATTTTTTAGTTTTATGTAACCTATTTATGTCATGATATGGTTTACTATAGTGATTGAATGGATGTTTAAAATCCTGACTGTTAGATTAGTTAACTATTGAAGTTTGATTTCAATAAAAAAAAAATGCTAAATTAATAAAAAAAAAAATCATAAATAGAATCGAATCTGAATAAGCGAGAGTCTATACGATCGTGATATTTTGTCTCGCTTTTAAATGTTTCTCTCTTAAGAGTTTCTCGCTTATCCAGTCTTTCTTTTTTTTTCTCTCCACTAATGACATAGGTTAAATATATATATTTTTAGGGATACAAACGATCCTAACAAAAGGAAGAAAGGTAGAAAGCCGAGAGAAGTGAAAGAGAGAGAAATAATCGATAACAGAGAACAGAATGAGAGGAAGATGTATCCTAGTCAGATGAGAAAAGTTGAAGGTCCAATACCATGTGAACAGGTAAGCAAAAAAAAAGGTTTTTCTTTTTTTATATCATAAGATGGCAAACGAGCGAGCGACCACCTGAAATCGCTGAAATAGCGAAGTGACCGTTGATCATAGACATACGCAATTGTATATACGTTGCCTACCTTTAATCGACGGAGGAGAGGATGCACAGAAATATTTTCCCTTTCCATGCATCTCATCCGGAAAGTCCACTTCCACTTCCCATCTTTTCCTTATAAAAAAAGGGTGGGAAGGGAAAGAGGACTAAATAAGGCCTCCTAATAATTTATTGTAATTATATTTCTCCAACATTTTCGTAGTTTTTTTTCTTATTTTTTGCAATATCTAGTGTGGTCTACAATTAGAAGATTCTCGTGCCTACCACGGTCACTTCAGACGTATGCATCCAGACAAGAACCGCACTAATTACCCTTCTATGAAGTCGCCTTGTATGTGTGAGTTGTGTGGCAGAATGTTCCAGGTAAGTCATATATAGCGCGTCGGTGGCGCAGTGGTCAAGCACTTGACTTGTAATCTGCAGCTCCTGGGTTCGAATCCCGCCATGTACCAATGTGTTTTTCGATTTCCGATTTACATATGTACATTTATCTGACGTTATTACGGTGAAGGAAATCGTGATGCTGCACATATCTGAAGTCAAAGATATATGTGAAGTCAACCCGCACTTGGTCAGCGTGGTAGGCTCCGAGCCCCTCAGTGGAGACGTATAGTGAGCTGATGATGATGATTTCAGAGTTACGCACTATTAAAAGACCATAGTTGGGTACATACCGGTGAGAGACCATTCTCATGTGAATGTTGCGGCAAAGCATTCCGCATGAGACAACGTCTCGTCGCACACAGGCGGGTGCACGCGCCGCGCAGGGATACATACGTGTGTGCGCTCTGCGGGAAACACTTCACAACTCATAGCAACAGGCAGCGACATATGTTTGTGAGTTATGCACACACTTGTACACTTAACAACTCATAAAAATCAAATACATAACGCTCAAGTTGATTTAAACATATAGAAATCTAAAAAAAACACTAATTTGTGAACACTTACACTCATTCATCTTCATGTCAGTCCATTCACTGATACGTCACGCATTTGTATGTTTTTATTTATACAGGATGTCCCAAAAGGTTACGTACATAGGAAGGGGGATGATAGGGGTGGTCACAAGGGTCACCAGAAAAATTAAATAAAAATTCCCCTTTTGGGTATTAAAAAAAATGGCATTTTTTAAGAACTTAAAAATTTTACACCTTCTGGGGCAATTTTGTAACCAATGACCTACAAATATTGCTACATTTTAAAAAAAAGCTATTATGTTATCGTCAATAACCCTTTATCAATATGATATAAAAAAAACAATACAACTAGCAAAGATTTTAAAGAAAACTAAACTTGCCCCAGAAGGTGTAAAACTTTTAAGTTTTTAAAAAATGCCATTTATTTTATTTAATACCTAGAGGGGAATTTTTATTTAATTTTTCTGGTGACCCTTGTGACCACCCCTATTATCCCCCTTCCTATGTACCTAACCTTTTGGGACACCCTATATAGTTTATTTATAACACCTATATCGTAAACGAGTGAACAGATTTTAACAAGTGAGGTATCATTCGATTCCTATTCTTCCCAAGTGTCATAAATACAGTAATTCGTATTTTTTGGTGTTTTTCAGATCCACACAGGTCTAAAGCCATTTGCTTGTGAAATGTGTGGCAAATGCTTCAAGCATGCAAGTGAGAAACGCGCCCACGTCGCCTACGTGCATCTCAAGAAGCCATGGCCGAAGCGAGCACGCACCAAACGAACAGACAGACAGGTATTGTGTTACATCATCAGCTCACTATACGTCCCCACTGAAGGGCTCGGAGCCTACCCTAAGTTAAAGGTGACAAGACCATAGTCAACCACACTGACCCAGTGCAAGACTTCACACATATCTTTGACTTTGTCAGATATGTGCAGCATCACGATGTTTTCCTTCACCGTAAGAACGTCAGGTAAATGTACATATGTAAATCGGAAATGGAAAAACACATTGGTACATGGCGGGATTCGAACCCAGGACCTGCAGATTACAAGTCAAGTGCTTGACCACTGAGCCATCGACTTGTGTTACATAACTTACTAATATTATAAACTAACTGTTGCCCATAACTCTGTACGGAATAAAAAAAAATATTAAGTAGTGTATGTGTTCTTCCAGACTATGTTCTATATGTTTGACAAATTTCATCAAGATACCTAATATTAGTAAGATGAGAAAGTTTGGATGGATGTATGGATGTTTGTTAGATCTCCAGAACGGCTGCATAGATCTTGATGAAATTTGACATAGATGTAGAACATAGTATGGAAGAACACATAGATTAGTAATTTTTTTTTATATTTCCATGCGTTCTAAATTTCTTGTTATAATGTCTTTATATAATTTTCTTTTCTAGAATCAATTGCAAAATCAAACACTAAGTGCGAGCGAGATGGATATAGTTCAGCCTGTGTGGCCGCATTGTGAACAGAAAGCTAGCGATGTTAATATCATAAATAAGCCTATTTACTATAACATGAAGATATAAAGATAAGACTTAACAGTGGTAGAGCCCGCTTTAACATCTTCTCACGAATTGTCCTCCTTCAGTGAAATACCACGACCACACAGAAAACAGGCTTCAAGTGCGAAGCTATTCTTTCTACAGTCTGATGAGTGTGCGTCCCGGAGACCTAATTTAGTCCTCTTTCTCTTCCCACCATTTTTATTATGAGGAAAGGATAGGAATGAGAGGATGGATGGAAAGGGAAAATATTTTCTTTCTGTGCATCCTCTCTTCCGTCGATTGAAGGTAAGCAACGCATATGCAATTGCGTATGTCTATGGGCAACGCTTCGCTATTTCAGTGATTTCGGCAGATTTGCTCGTTTGTCACCTTATGATATAAAAAATAAGACTAACTGGGTTTATTCTTTTAATATGTAACTGAGGCACGACAATCACGTGACTGTATCCAAAGTTATTATCAGTTCTGTACATTTTTGAAGTCCCAAATTATTGTGGAACATCACTGCAGTGTTTATTGTCCTCTCTTTCATTTTCTTTGATAAAAGAGAGACAAAAATATCGCCTTAATAATCTTTGGTACATAGATAGGAATTGTATGTTTAGAATAAGGTTTTATTGATAATTTAATAGTTGGTTTCTGAGACTCAATTCTCTGTATAACATTATTCTCTGTTTTGTCAAACAATATGTTTTCAGAGTTTTTGGTCTCGGAAACCAATGATAAGTAATGTTATTGTGAAATTATATTTTAATATGTATTTATTGAATGAAATAATAAACAGACAATTTTTAATACTCATTTATTTTGTGATAAAAAAATCATTTTTTTTTATTTAAAACTAGCTGTCGTCCGCGTGTAATTAACAAAAATAGTTACCGGCAATTCGAATTTATTTCGAGTTTTAAACCTTCATGAACATTTCAAGAACAAGATAAGACAAATCCGTGCAGCGTTATCTGCAATTGATTTTTAAATATAAAAAAAAATTAAAAATAAAACTTACAGATAGATAAAAGAATAAATTTGTACTCCCGCACCCCAGGTCTTTGACCCAAAAACATGTTAGAAGGAATTAGGCAAAGTACCGCGCAAAAAATAACACCTTTGCTTAAGAATACTTTAATCTATTTGTGCTTTTATTTGTTGAATTTATCAAAATATCTTTTGACCAAACAAAAATAAGATCCTAATTGTTTCTATATCATGTCTTTCATCAATTTAATTAGCTTCTTCTTAAGGTGCCTCTAGGACTTGGAAAGATTAGCAGTCAGTTCATTGTCTCTCTCTTGAGATTTAATATGCGACTAACTTAATTTCAACCTTACTGACTTGTAACATAATATCAAGAAAACAACACAATAATATCAAGAGAAAAGAGTAAAATGTACAATAACAATAGAATGACAGGCAAACACTTTGCAAATTGCCAAAAAAAATCAAAGAGTAAGTATTAGTTTTTTTACTTTTCTATTGCTTTGTGCACTCTTTGGCTTTGTGACACATTCCCTATAAAATGTTGTTGTCCAAAGGCCTAAAATCTAGAACCAGTTCTAATATGTAATGCTCCAATCTTTGATAACCTAAAGTCTTTTTTGTATGACGCTTGAAAAAAAAATCCAAAAATTAAAATCAAATTAAACCAATAATCTCTGTCATAATCTTTAATTTTGACATGGCAATCACAGATAAGATTGTGTCTTGGCAGTGTTGCCAAACGTACGGCAATTGCCGTGTTTTACGGCTTTTAAACCGACGGGAAACTACCAAATTTACGTCTTTTTGAAAATTTCTTTTAATTAATTGAGTAGTAAAACTGTGCAAAAGATACCGAAAAGGGGGACAGCTAATTGTTTATAAAGATATTGTTTAGCTGAATGTATGATTTTGTTTTCGTGTTCTTAACAAAATAAGAACATATATTGCTAGTTATTTAAGTTAATAAAACTAGTTAATTAAACTACCAAAATAATACTATAAACCATATACTAAAACTAAACCAAACTAAAAATAAAACTAAATAATATAAAAAATCGACCCCAAACCGCTGCGGTCGCACGGTAGGGTTCCCAAGAGGCTGGCGGCATTTCCCCGTTGGATGGCCAGGCTCAACCTTTGGCCGAAATGCGCGCCAGCCCTTGGATCCCCTGAGGCGTCGATGAGGCGTGCGGAAATCTCCTTAAACAGGCGACGGGCTTCCGCACCCCAAGGCCCCAAGGTCTCCACGGCAAAAGGCGCAAATATATACGGATCTGCCAACGCCGCATATTTACGCCTTAAAATACATAATAATACATACCGAAAATACATTTTAAATTTAACGTTAGTAAAAACAGTCCTTGATTATCAATATATTGATGGTACACAACATACATGGTGTATAAAACAATGACAGCAGTTGGCAAACATTTCAATATTGTATAGAAAGTTCAAACAACCAGCTTACTGCCATTTGGCGAATGTTACATAGGTTTCCTATTTTTAGGAGTGCTAGGGCCCACTATTTATAATCTTACATACAAACACGGCTTTTGTAGGCAGTGTACACAACCGGCAGCCAGGTAAAAATTTTCATTGGCAACACTGATTGACATTTAAAAAAAATACTAACGTCCTATTTATTATTGTTTACGTTCACTTATCATTTAAATTAAAAACAAATTCACTCAAAAATACTTGCAAGAAGAGTTCCTCTAAATTAATCGAACTTCAATTCACATTAACAATTAGTTATATATGTATTTTATTAATTGTAAGTCGTGATGTTATTAGATTTATGTTACAGTGTCTAAAAAACTTAGAAATGTTACCCGTTCCAATGTATAATATGGAAGGATCTTCTAATTTGAACAGCGGTGTTAATAACTTTTGCAGTGTTTACGATGAGAATATTATTTTAAATAGTGTTAGGAATAGGAAAAAGGTATCAGAACACGCAAACTGTCCTGTATGTAGTTGTACAATAAGACATGGTGAATTAGAATCACATCTTGCTTTAGAAGTTGAAAGATTACAAAAACTTTCCAATGGTGGATCTAAACGAAAACTCAGTGCTAATAGTCCGACTAATTCGAATCTAGCAGTTGCTGGTTCAAGTAGTAATAATGAAGTTCATAATGAAGATGTTGATGTAACTGGCTGTTTAGGAAGTGATGTTTATCAAGTAAGTTCTTTATTAAGATATCTTTCCTTCATAATTCCGTTCCTTTACATGTATATACCTATGGCTGATAACTTTACATAAACATTGTAAATTGGTGGTAAAAAAAAAACAAAAACAAACTGCCATTAACATCCTTCAAAAATTCCAACCATCTACCACATATGTATTTTGTATATGTGCCAGACATAATTGAGATTGTTTACTTCTTATGTTACTAAAATAAACAACAAAACCAATGAAACTATGACATTTCAGGAAATAATAAGTTTTCTATTTACATCATCAACCTGCCCTTATCCCTATCGAGGGTCGGCACAGTATGTACTACTCCTCCATACATCTCTATCAGCCGTCATATCCGAGTCTACCCCTTTCTTATGCATATCCTCTTTCACAGTCATTCCATACTTTTTTTGGTCTTCCCCTACCCTTGTAGCCATCCACATTCAATCTCATTACTTTTTTGCTTATATCATCATCATCAAGTTTTCTATTTACATAGAGATAATTTATTTCATCATCAGCTCACTATACATCTCCAATGAGTCTTGGAGTCTACCCTAAGTGAGACTATGTGATAGTGAATGCTGGTCCAGTGCAAAACTTCACAGATATCTTTGACTTTCACGAAATGTGCAGCTTCACAGTTTTCCTTCACCGTAACAACATAGGATACATGTACATATGTAAATGTAACACATTGCTACATGCCATGATTTGAACAAAGGACATGTTTACAAGTCAACTGCTTAAACCCTGAGCTACAGAAGTAATAACATATTATTTTTTATCAAATTTCAGAGAGTGCATTCAAATCGTTTACGAAGACTAAGAGCTAGACGTCGATCAACACCACCACCGCAGACCGGAGAATGTCCTGTCTGTAATGCAACATTACCTGTGTCCAGACTGCAGCGACATGCATTACGATGTCTCAAGAGAACCGGTGCGGAGATGGATGATGATGTACCTGATACAAGTTCGGAAGAAGGCAGCATTGATGTTGAGGTAAATTTTACTAATATTATAAATGCAATTGTTTGGATGAATGAATGTTTCTTGGTATATCCAAAACGGCTGCATGGATTTCGCTGAAATTTAACATGGATGTAGAACATAGTCTCAAATAAGTACTTTTTAAATGTTCAGATAATAAGTAAAACCTACTTGGACAGCTAAAGTCTAGCAAAACCTTGTCACAGTTTTTGACTTTGAAAAAGCACTTAACTTCATAATCATCATCATGAGGCGCTACAGCCGCAGTAGGCCTGGACCTGATCAAGTAAAGCCTATTGCCTTCAACTTGGTCAGTGTAAAACAATGTCTTAGTCCAAAAGATCAGCTGTTTATGAGGAACAAATATGATAATTTATTTTTATAAATCTTGGTGTTGTCAGAATGATGAACCATCAGGGGGCTTTGGTGCGGAGTACCAGTGGTGCGGCGAATGGCGGGTGAGGGCTGCAGCGCTGCAGGCCGCGGAGGGCAGAGTCGCCACTGCTGTACGAAGAGTCTCCAATGATCAGGCATTGGTACATATACTTTGATATAAAGGATTCTTCCTTATAATCAAAATTTTAATTTAATTTGAAAGAGGCAGACTTTTGTAAGTTATTTTGACTTTTTTGATGTATTGCTTTGGCAAAAGACCATGTGGCCACCTGAATTCGCTGAAATAGCGAAGCAACTTGCCAATAGACATTTGCAATTACAGATGCCTTGTCTACGTGTAATCGATGGAAAAGACAGAAAAATATTTCCGCATTCTATGCGTCTCCAACGTCAAATTCACTTCCCCTTCCTATATTTTCCTTTCAAGAAAAGTTTGGGTAGGGAAAGAGGAGTAAAATATGTCCTCTGGCCGCACTCATCAGACTGTAGTTATAATGATTTGTGACTAGAGGCTTCTGTAAGATTGTAGTCGAGGTGTGATGGTTGAGTCTACCACAATTATAAAAAGGGTTGTCCTAATGATTCCAGGTCGTAGATGGTGATGAAGATACAGAGTTGTATGGTCCACCACAATATTCACCATCCAGGATAGCCCCAGATGTAAGTAGCAGCATCAACTTTACATCCCTACTGAGGGTCTCGGAGCCTATAAGTGAGACTATGTGATAGTGAATGCTGGCCAAGTGCAGGTTGACTTCATATCTTTGATGTTCTCAGATATGTGCAGCATCACAATGTTTTCCTTCACCGTAACAGCATAAGTATTAATAATAAATTTACATCTAAATATCTTTAAAATAAAATTCTCATGTCACAATTTTCGTTCCCATACTCCTCTGAAACGGCTTGACCGATTCTCATGAAATTTTGTGAGCATATTGAGTAGCTCTGAGAATCGGCCAACATCTATTTTTAATCCCGCGCGGACGCAGTCGCGGGCGACAGCTAGTCTTTTAAATAAAATTCTTGTGTTACAATGTTAGTTATTATAATCCTCCTCCTCCTCGGAATCGACTTGACTAATTTTTATGTAATTTTATATAAAAATCCTAAATAAAAACCTCTTAAAATCACCTACTATCAATTTTTCATACCCCTAAGTGATAAGATTTATCTACCCTTAATATTTTTATTTTTTGGACAATTTTTTTTATAACGTATTAGATGTCGCCTGCTACTCCCTTCACGTGGAATTAAAAAAAACGTAATAGTCTAAGTGTTCTTCCAGACTATGTTCTATATGTATGACAAATTTCATCAAGATCTGTTGAGTTGTTCTGGAGATATCTTCTAACATAAATCTAAACATTCACATTTATAATATTAGTAAGATGTATCTTTTTAATTGTTTTTTTTTACATTCCAGGCAGATATACCTTTAACAGACGAACAGACAGAAGATACTCCTATAGAAAATGAAGAACCTATTAAAAGATATGAAACATCAAAACCCAATGGTATCGTTGAAGCAAGCGCAGAAGTATGTAGAATCTATCAATTTATGTTTTACTAGTTGTAGCACTCGACTCTGTCCGCACGGGTTACTAAAGACAGTAGCCTATGTTCTTCCAGACTATGTTCTATATGTATGTCAAATTTCATCAAGATTCGTTCACCCGTTCTAGAGGTATACAAACATCCATCTAAACATTCGCATTTATAATATTAGTAAGATATGAAAATGTCTAAGTTCTTTCATCATCATCATCATCAGCTCACTATACGCCCCACTGAGGGGCTCGGAGCCTACCCTAAGTTAAGTTTGATTAGGCAATAGTCAACAACGCTGTACAAGTGCGGGTTGACTTCACACATATCTTTGACTTTCTCAGATATGTGCAGCATCACGATGTTTTCCTTCACAGTAAGACCATCAGATAAATGTACATTATACACGGAAATGTAAAAACACATTGGTACATGGTGGGATTTGAACCCAGGAGCTGCAGATTGCAAGTCAAGTGTTTTAACCCCTGAGCCATCGATGCTCCTTTAAGTTACTTACTTAGTCTAAATTAAAAAAAAACTAGAATTTCGAAAATGTCTATTTTAATTTGCTATTTAACTCATTAGAGCCTGAGTTAGTCTTTTTTAAATATCAGTAAGATTTAATAATTAATTTTTTATTATTTTCAGACAAGAATACAAGCTTTAAAAGCTAAAATAAAAGAATTGGAAAGCAGACAGAATACAGCTTCCGAGGTATGTATTTAAAGCTAACTTAAAATAATTACCATCATTTACTATAAATAGCGGTAAATATAGTTTCTGTCTCCGACTTCGTCTACACAAAATAAAAAAAAACTTAGTAGTCTATGTTTTATGTCAGTCTTTCCCAAAGTGTGAGATAACGCCCCCTTGTGTGGGCTGCAGGTCTCAAGTTGCGGGTTATAGTAAAACGTTTCGTTTACAATTCTCCGTTATTATACATATATAGTTCACAATAATTAATTAATTTAATTTGAAGTTATAGTGGTTTTTAAATATGTGAAAATATGGGGGCGCTAAAAATATTTATTCTTAAAGTGGGCAGTAGACAAAATAAGTTTGGGAACCACTGTTCTATATGTATGACAAATTTCATCTAGATCCATACAGCCGTTCTGGAGATCTATCCATACATCTTGTTTAGTTTACTAGTAAAATGAATTTGTACGTTTTTTTTTTATTTCTGTTAACTTTTTAATTTACAGGCAAAATGTCTTATATGTTTGGGTCCGCACATCTCTCCGGCAGTTTCCATACAATGTTGGCATGTTCATTGTGAGGTTAGTATTATTGTTTACCTAATTATATGTTTGTATATTAATTTAAAAGTTTTCTTAATAATATTTATAACTGTATATATAACAGAGGTAGAGCCCGCTTTCACATCTTCGCAGGAATTGTCCTCGCTCAGTGAAATACCACGACCACTAACTACAGTGTGATGAGTGTGCGTCCCGGAGGCCTAATTTAGTCCTCTTTCCCTTCCCACTCTTTTTCTTAGAAGGATACGATGGGAAGTGGAAGTGAACTTTCCGGATGAGAGGATGCATGGGAAGGGAATATATTATCTTTCTGTGCATCCTCTCCTCCGTCGATTAAAGGTAGACAACGCATATGCAATTGCGTATGTCTATGGGCAACGGTCACTTCGCTATTTCAGCGATTTCAGGTGACAGCTCGTTTGGTACCTTAAGATATAAAAAAAAATTGTTTAATTTCTTTATATTAGTATTTTTGGTTATATTATACACTACTTGAAGCTCGCGACACCCTCCATGTGAATTTAAAAAAATTTTGTAGTCTATGTGTTCTTCCAGATTATGTTCTACATCTATGTCAAATTCCATCAAGATGTATACAGCCGTTCCGGAGATATCTTCTAACATACATCTAAACATTTGCATTTATATTATATATGAATTTTATTTCGTTATTTGTCTATATTACTAGTATAATATAATTTGCAGGTCTGTTGGTTGCAATCTTTAAAAGCAAAAAAAATATGTCCTCAATGTAATGCTATCACAAGTACACAGCATTTGAGAAGAATATATATGTAACTTGAAAACAAAGAGAATGGTTGATTTAAACATCAAATTACCTCAAAAAGGCAAAAGGAAACATCAAATTTCCTCGAAAAGGCAAAAGGAAACATCAAATTTCCTCGAAAAGGCAAAAGGAAACATCAAATGCCTCGAAAAGGCAGACATCAAATCGATTGCATGAAGTGGACTTGACAGGGGAGAAGACATAGGATAGGGAAATAATCCCCTTTCTGTATGTCCCTTCTTCCTTTTTAGGTACCTACCTCACACTTGCGTAACCATTGGATGTCTATGCGTTGTCATTTCGCTATTTTAGCGAAATTTTATGTGATTGCAGCTTGTTGTTTGTATTATAAAAGAAACGATTACAATATTTATCAAATTACTAAAGGATGTATGGAGAAAATGTATGGAAGATGTATGTTTTTACAGGAATAGAAAATAACTGAAGTAACATGATAAATTTAATCATTTTTGATACAATTTCTTCCCTTTTTTTTCTAAATATTAAGGGAAATGAAGACTAACTCGATTAAGAAACTATGCTCATATAAAAATGACATGAATAAGTTTGCCTTCTGTGAAGATAATACAATATATGAAGACATTATGTAAATAAAATTATATATATTTTCTAATATTGTGTATTTATTTAACCTTGGAAAGCCTAAGAATTGGTAACTAAAACTTTCTCGCTTAGGTGTTCCGGAAAATTGTAGTTTTTTTATTTATTGAATTTAAGTAAATTAATATTGGGATTTACAAAGCTACTAGCTGTCGCCCGAGACTCTGTCTGCGTGGAATAAAAAAAAATAAGTGGGCATAGCAAACTGGAAGTCTGTGGCCAGAGATAGACAGAGGTGGAAAAGGTTGCTGGACCAATCCAAGGCCCACAAAGGGCTGTAGAGCTAGAAGAAGTAGGCTATGTATTCTTCCAGACTATGTTCTGTATGTTTGCAAAATTTCAGTGAGATCTGCGGAGCATCCATCAATTTAAACATAAATATTAGTAAGAGGTAAGATTTAAAACAACACGTTTATAACTTCATATGACTTTTTTCTTATACTTGGGGAAAGTTGTAATTAATATTACAAATAAAACACTTTATTGTAAAGTAAATATAATATATCTTATATACTAATCTATCGTGTTTGTACTTGACAAACTGTCAAGTTAGGTTGACATCTGTCAATGTCATGCAGTAATCAAACACTATGGTCCACAGTGTTGCAAGTAATAAAAACTTAATTTCATAACAGAAATCGATTTGTTTGAATCGATTAATTCACTTTAATCGATCGATAATCGACAGATGTCAAAGTTGCAATTTAATTATTTTTCTTCGGGTATGGTTTTCTTTTAATCTTCTTATGTATTAGTCTATTATGTGTATACAAAGACGCTTTGAATCCGAACGTCTTGTCGCAGATTTCACATTTGAAGGGTCTCTCGCCTGTATGTGTTCGGATATGAGATTCTAATAACCTCAAATTCTAAAAAAAACAATAAAAAAATTTATTGGTATACAATTCTAACCTCTACAAATGGACTGGCTATGAGACGCCTAATTTATTTTCACCATTTGGTGTGGAACTACTAATATAGACTATCAGGTAACATCAACAAGCGAGTTTAAGGAACGAATGAAAAGCTGTACAAGCAATCACCTATCCATTTATAAAGGTAAGAAGAATACATCGAAAAACTTATTTGGCAAAGTGCAAAGCACTGTTATCTGTTAGAAAAACGTGAAAAATAACACAATAGACTAGATACTATAGAAAAATGAACTTATAACATTGATGGAGGTCGCTAGTGTGCTAAGTTTAGCTTACTGGATCAGATATGTCGGTCCATACAGACCGACAAGGTTTTTGTGACACGTTCTTTTGTGCCCACATACTATGACATAATACTATATATCTAAAAGTTTTTATTAGCTACAGATTTTAATAAGTTAGAAAAAAGAAAAATATATTCTTACCGAGAATCCTGTGCCGCAAAGATCGCAGATTTTGTTCTTCGGCCGTTTTATTTTATCATGAACGTACATAATGTGTCGCGTCATACAACGCTTTGTTTCAAACTCCTGCAAAATAATACCTTATTATATTATAAATGCAAATGTTTAGCTGTTTGTTAGAAGATATCTCCAGAACAGTTGCCTGGATCTTTATGAAAATTGTCATAGATGTAGAACATAGTCTGGAAGAACACATAGACTACTATTTTTTTTAATTCCTCACGGACTTAGTAACAGGCGACAGCTAAATTAAATCCCAAATAAAATTGTCTATGGTTAATAGATTTAGAGTAATACTAAAACCGCGTCATAACCTTACCTTAGAACACAATTTACAAACGTAGTTTCTCAATTTAAGATGTTCCCAATCAACGTGATCTTTAAGACGTGCTTTTTCAGAATATTTGACACCACATTCAAAACACGTGAACCTGGTATTAAGAAAAAACAAGCTTGAATGCTCTAAGTTATCGGAGGCGTAATTTTATTTATCTTTCCCTTGCTTTATTAGAAAAGGATGAGAAAGGGAATTGGATGTGATGCATAGAAAGGGTAAATACCCTGTCTCCACCATCTGCAATTGCGAATCTATGGGTAACGGTCGCTTCGATATTTTAACAAATTCAAATGACCGCTTGCTTAAGTATGTATACTTGATGCAATAGATTCCAGTGGAAATTATATTTAAATATGTCACTGACTGACAATGTCGTTTATTGTCTATGGATTTATATTGTAATCTTTTATATATATAATTCATCTGTGCGTGTGTATGTCACTGAACTTCTCTCAAACGACTGGACCGATTTTGATGAAATTTTTTGTGTGTGTTCAAGGGGATCTGGGAATGGTTTAGATTCACAATTTTGTCCGCTGGACAATGTTTTTTTTAATTAATATTTAATTTATTAGTAGTTGTTGATTTTGGAATGTTTTACATTGGATCCGACAGACGGCGCTACCATCGCAGTTTCAAATTAAAGACGTGTAGACAGGACAACATCTGTCGGGTCCGCTAGTATATTTATAAAAACATAACAAACACGTCTGATTGTAATAAATCTTACTCAAAGGTAAAATTGTTTAGATACGTAGATAACTTCTTATTTCTATTGAATTCAACTAAATTTATTGTATGAGAGGATATGAATGATGAATTCAAATACCTTACTTAGCGGGCATTGTTTAAATTTTTTAAGTTATTCAGTGAAAATTATGTGATAAAGTGATGTAAGAAAGTGTTTGCCCAGAATATTTGTAAATTTTTTAATCTTATTAAAAAAATGCGAATGTTTAGACCAGTCTTTCCCAAAGTGTGAGATAACGCCCCCTTGTGGGCGCTGCAGGTCTCAAGTTGCGGGTTATAGTAAAACGTTACGTTTAGAATTCTCCGTTAATATACATATATATGTCACAATAATTAATTAATTTAAAGTTATAGTGGTTTTTAAATATGTGAAAATATGGGGGCGTTAAAAAAATATTTATTCTCAAAGTGGGCAGTAGACAAAATAACCACTGGTTTAGATGGATCTTTGTTAGGAGATATCTCCTGAACAGCTGCATAGATCTTACTGAAATTTGGTAGGGAATCGCGGGCGACAAATTGTCTATGGTTTGTAATGTAAAACATACCTTTTATCAGCATCCTTGAGATGTTTGGAATGATTCTTTAAATGTAATTTCAACAATCTTCGTGAACGAAAATATGTCTTACATGTGTCACAAAACTTGTCGGCAGAAGGTTCCGACGTCTCATGTATATATTCATGTCTCTTCAATTGTATGTCGGTCTTGAATTTCTTGTCACATGTCTTACACGACACAGGTTCGGGTGTACCATGCATTTTTCTATACATTAAAATGTATTTGTCATCATCATCATCAGCTCACTATCCGTCCCCACTGAGGGTCTCGGAGCCTATCCTAAGTTAAGGGTGATAGGTCATAGTCAACCACGCTGGTCAAGTGCGGGTTGACTTCATACATATCTTTGAATTTCTTCTCAGATATGTGCAGCATCACGATGTTTTCCTTCACCGTAAGAACGTCGGATAAATGTACATATGTAAATCGGAAATCGAAAAACACATTGGTACATGGCGGGATTCGAACCCAGGACCTGCATATTGCAATTCAAGTGCTCTACCACTGAGCCACCGACGCTCCCTTTATTCCCTGACCAAAATGTATTTGTACTTTATTTAATTTTTTATTTAAGAAACGCAAACTTATGAATGTGGAATTTAACACAATTAATATGAAAAAATAACTTAGCTATTTTAGTTAAAAAATCATATCTTACTAATATTATAAATGCGAATGTTTGGATGTTTGTTAGAAGATATCTCCAGAACGGCTGAATAGATCTTGATGAAATTTATCATAGATGTAGAACATAGTCTGGAAGAACACATAGACTAATATTTTTTTAAGAACAAACACATACTTACAAGATATGTTTAGTAAGTACATTTTGATTTGCGAATGTTCCTCCACAAATTTTACACGGTACTCTATCTTTGTGGCTGTAGGTGTGAGATCGATAGTTCTTGTACGAACTGTAATATTGAAATGTTTAAATCATCGAGTCTTGTATAGACCGACAAGGATATCAGAACATGTCGGCTTAAGTCAAATTAAATTATGACAGTTCACTAAGGCCCCAATAGCCGTATAGTCAAATATATCTGTTCCGCTGAGAGGTTCTTAACATATAGAACTAACTTAAGCAAAGAAAATGGCATAAATAATGAAATAGAAAACAGCTTTAGAAAGACAAGGATCTTGTGACACATTTTTGACATTGACAAAAGCTGATATAATTTAGCTTGACTTTACCGACAAGGTTGTCCTTGTCGGTTTATAAGTTAGCTTTTATGTCATGTTTGTGCTTTGCTTCTATACCCATGTTGTTTTTACATATTGTACACGGTCTGATATCCACGACAATAAGCATAGAAAATGACACATGATACGTCAACTTTAGATGGATCTTGTGACTGACATTATGAGAGAGGCCCTAGTGAGACATAATTTATTTGACTTATACCGACACGTATCCTTGTCGGTCTTAACGACAGACATTCCTGTAATGAATACTTACTCAGTAGTGAAACCGCAAACTTCACATATAAAAGTCATTAGTATTTCTTCGTGATGTTTTTGATAATGATTTAAAGCTGTATTACGATCGCGTTTACGAATCCCACATTCCTTGCATTCGTAACTAACAGACAGATGTTAAACATTTTATACAAATAACTTCAAAAACATGAAAAAAAAATGTACATCTATGACATTCAAGGGAAGAATACGAAATGACAATGACAAGACAAAGTTGTCAAAATATGTTTAGTCGTTTAGACTACAGTCGAATTTGAATAAGCGAGAGTTGCGATATTTGTCTCGCTTATAGAGGTTTCTCTCTAACCAGAGTTTCTCGTTTATAGAGGTTTCTCTCTAACCAGAGTAGAGGTTTCTCTCTAACCAGAGTTTCTCGCTTATAGAGGTTTCTCTCCAACAAGAGTTTCTCGCTTATCTAGATTCAATTGTATATAAACGAGAATAGCTATTACTAATAATGTTTTTTTTGTTTGGTTAAGTAATGTCAGTATAAACTTATAAAAAAAAATTGAAAGTTGTTCCGTGCATTAAAAATAAGGAGACTAATCTCTTAAATCTAGTACTTAAAAAAAATCTACCTACCCAATATCATCTTTATTACTAAAATTATAATTAACTTCAAGAAAAGAAGGTTTTATTTAAGAAAATATTATAAATACCGTACAACATGCTGTCTCATATGATTCCTCAATGCCTTGTCATTGTTTAAATATGATTTACAAATGTCACATAAAAGAGCCCCTTCCCTCTGAAATATCCAGGATCTATGTACTAAATATAATAATTATAATATAATGAGCTATTTATATAGTGAATTGTGGATGAAAAAATACAGAGAAAGTAATTTCCCAGACCGACTCCTACAAAGATAACCAAATGGGGGGTCACAAACAAAATGCTTAGATAAATTTTAATCTACTGATCTTATGTTGTAATCCCGTCATGTACCAATGTGTTTTTACATATCTACATTTATCCTATATTGTTAAGATGAAGGAAAACATCGTGTTGCACATATCTGTCAAAGTCAAAGATATGTGTGAAATCAACCCGCACTGGACCAGCGTGGTTGACTATGTCTGTGTGCCTAATCACCTAACTTAGGGTAGACTGCCACTCAGTGGGGACGTATAGTGAGCTGATGAATATTTTTAATAAAAAAAAAGAAAAATCTCCAACATAAAATATGTATAAAAAATTTCATAATATCAAGTTTCCGATGAGTATGGTAACTAATATATATTTATATTGTTACGATGAAGAAAAACATCGTGATGCTGCATATCTGACAAAGTCAAAAGTGTGAAGTATTGCACTGGACCAGCATTCACTATCACATAGTCTCACTTAGGGTAGACTCAGAGCGACTCAGTTTACTTATAAAGTGCTTACCAATTCATGTTTTTGTTTCAAATGTAGCTCATATATATGTTCATGAGCAAATCCAATGATACAATCTTTACATTTGTAAGGTTTTTTCAAATAATATTCATACAAAACATCTCTCTTTCTTTCTCCGGTAATTTCTTCTTGGCTTAGAGTTACAATTCTTATTTTATCTTCGAATTTAATTCCACTAGAGTCAAATATCTTTTGAGAAATATTCGAAGTTTGTTTTGTTTGTTTTATTTTTTTTATCTTTTGCGGTAATAATTTAACCTCATTATGGCTTTGATCATTTTTAAATGTTGACATATTACCGTCATTTTTGTCATTTGTAATTGTTTTTTTAACTTCTGTATCCAATGTATTCATATCTTTAGCTTCAATTTTTGATATCTCAATCTAAAAGATTAGCTAATTTAGACTGCAGTGTAGATCAAGTGGGGATTTATGGATTTACTTGAGTATAGCAGGTAAAAAAGGGATGAATCTTGCACCCAATCAAGTAATAAGTAATCCAAAAATCCCCGCATTGTCTCCTAACATATTCTTATCTCTTTCTTATAAAATAGAATAAAGTGATGCCAATAATCAAACCTGTATAAGCAAGAGTCAATAGAACCGGAATGTGTTTCTCGCTTATGGATGTTTCTCTTTAATTCAAGTTTCTCATTTATGGAGGTTGTCCAGACAACGACTCTTGCTTAGAGGTTTCTTGCTTATTCAGGTTATATATGACTCGAAAATACAAAGAAAAAATATTTAAGGAAGGAAAAACACTATTAAAGGATATATTCTTCACTCAAATGTTAACTAATAATAATCTTATATCTTTAAATGAGCAATTCTTGTATAAATATATATAATTGGAATCTCGGAATCGGCTCCAACGATTTTCATAAAATCGATCTAGCTGGGAATCATTTTTAGAAAATGTCATTTTATTCATGTTTTATCGATAATCAACTTAAACATAAACTTAACTTTTTCTATCGGTAAGATCTAAAAATATTATTCATATTTCATCATTTTATTAGTAATTCCTACTTAAATAAAATTTCCAAAAAACACAATTAAAAAAAAAATACCAAGCAAAGCTCGGTCACCCAGGTATTTATATTAAAAAGAAATGAGGTTCCTCAGCGATGCCAGAATGTGCTAGTCTACATGTAAATGTATCTCTAATGTTATGCCAAAGTTTATTAGAAGAATGGATGTTTGTTAGAAGATATAGTGGGATTAGACAAAGTGCATTCTCTTCAAAGCAATTCATAACTAATTTCAAAAAAGTATGAAATTGATCTGAGACAATCACGCGACATATCGAAAGTTATTGTCAGTTTTATAAATTTTTGAAGTTCGTTATGAAATCACTTCGGAGGGAATGTATTTTGTCAAACTCTGAAGTACAGCAAAACAGATCTTTATGAAATTTGTCATAGATGTAGAACAGAGTCTGGAAGAACACATAGACTAATTTTTTTTTAATTTTAAGCATATCTTACCCAGGCCATAGTTGTATCAGAAAAACTATCATCTTCAGATTGCGATGTCATCTTTTCACATTTTATTTCACTTTTTATGTCATTATTTAATGTATTATTTACATACTCGTGTCGTAATACTTCATTGTTGATTGCATAATTAATTTCTACCGCTGACATATCCAACTTATGTATATGTTCACTTTGTAGTTCTTTATACTGAAAATAATTATAAAATTTTATTAATATTATTAAAGTCATGTTAGTTACACTATTTATAACACAAGAATTTTATCGATAATCAACTTAAACATAAACTTAACTTTTTCTATCGGTAAGATCGAAAAATATTATTCATATTTCATCATTATATTAGAAATTCGTACTTAAATATAATTTCCAAAAAACACAATTCAAAAAAAAAATACCGAGCAAAGCTCGGTCATCCAGGTACCAAAATATATATGTGCTAGGATTGTGTCATACAGATGTCCGTATCCTACTTCCTGTGTTACAGGCATGAGTTTTATTGTTTAAATATAGATATAAATACATAATACTAAATAATTACAATGTTCGTAATAAAAAATATTACCTTATTTAACATATCAATAGATTTTTCAACTTGTCGTGTAAAGTTCTCAACCTTTATTATAAAATTATGACAAAAGGTACATATATACATTTCTGCATAATTCACCTAAAAAAGGAATATTTGATTACTTGTTTTTACAGTAGGAATGAACGCGTCATTAAGTTCAAATAAATCTATGGAGTGACTAGGTCTTAAGGTTTTTAATCAGATATAATTTATGAAAAAGCAAATGCTACTTATAACCTACAAAAAGCTTTTGTGTAGTTGTCAAGTAATATTTACCTTATTTTCTAATATTTTCGCGAAGAATAAAACATGTTTACATTTGTCTAGTTTCATTAAAGATCGTTTTGTACTTAAACAGCATACACATATCATTCGATTTAAGGGATTTTTTATGTTATTCATTTTAATTAAAACTTTAATTCATTTTTGTTTTATAATACAACAATAAAAATATGTTTTCCTAAGTTTTTCACTTTTTTCTTTTGTCACAGAGAAGACTGTCAAGTAAAAAGTCAAACTACGTTATGGTTTTCTGTGTTGCAAGCATCAACCATAGATATATTACAGATTATATAAAATTATACGTCTCCATGGAATCTGAAGAGTTTTGTTTTATTTTTGTGTCACTGATTTTTTAAAATTGTACATGTTTATCGTACGTTGTTACTGTGAAGGAAAACATCGTGATGCTGCACATATCTGACAAACCCAAATGTGTGAATTCTTGCACTGAGCCAGCATTCACTATCACATACTCTCACTTAGAGTAGACTCTGAGACCCTCAGTAGGGACATCTAGAATTCTGATGAATTATACTTACTCTTTTTACTAATCCAATGGACTTATAAAATGGTTGATAATTTTTAGGACTTTGGATAAGGTTTGTAACGTAAAAAAAAATTATAAAAGCAGGTTTCTGAGTTTAATTAAACTTCTTATGTGCATTGACATTTTTAAATCTAGACTTTTAGTTTAAACTTTAGATTCGAAGGATTAGATTGCCTTGTGTATGTTGGCTTACCGTAAAATAACTTCGTATCTTTCACTCTTACGATTTTCTGTCTCTTTCTCTACTACGTATTTGGAATCTCACTTTCCATTATTTCAATAATTCTTCTCTTATTATATATCTTATGTACTCTCTTCCTATGTGTATATAACGATGCGTTCTGTCTGAACGTACAGCCACATATCTCACAAGATAAAGGTCTTTCCCCTGTATGTATAAGTTCATGTTCTCTTAAACCTTTTTTATCCTAAAAAATTAATATGTTCATTGGTTTAAAATGTCGAAATATATAGTTATAATATTTAACAGTGGTAGCGCTTTAACATCTTTGCATGAATTGTCCTCGCCCGGTGAAATACCACGACCACACAGAAGACAGGCGTCAAGTGGAAGCAATTCCAACTACAGTCTGATGAGTGTGTGTCCCGGAGACCTAATTTAGTTCTCTTTCCCTTCCCACCCTATCTCTCATAAGGAAAGGATGGGAAGTGGAAGTGGACTTTCCGGATGAGAAGATGCATGGAAAGGGAAAATATTTTCTTTCTGTGCATCCTCTTCTCCGTGGGTTAAAGGTAGGCAACGCATATGCAATTGCGTATGTCTATGGGCAACGATCACTTCGCTATTTCAGTGATTTCAGGTGGCCGCTCGCTCGTTTGCCATCTTATGATATAAAAAAAAAAACAGATTTTAAATTATGACTTTTAGCGTAATGTGCAGTTTATCTATGGTTTATAGTTAGGGTTGGAATATGGTATAAGAATATAATCTCACTCTGAATGCTTTGCCGCATTGTTGACACATCTTGTCACGTGCGTTCTCTTTGAGGCCGTCGTGCGCGCGTCGTACGTGACGCGTCACGCAGCGACGTGTCGCCAACGCCTACGGAGATATTTAATATTATTAGAATTAATGATAATAAAAATCTCGCGTTTCAAATCGCTCTTCTGTTAATGTCAAAGTCAAAAAAGTGACAGAAGCAAACTTCTGATTTTGTTTACAAGCCGTTGGCCGAGACTTATTCAGCGCAGCATTTAAAAAGTAGCCGATAATATGGGCCAGCCGTATCGAATATTACCCGTAGCAAACGCAAACTTGCGGACATACAGACAGATAAAAATTATTAAAATGTTTATGTATATATTATATTACCTATTTTTTATATATGTTAACATTACCTTGCCACATTGTGGACATTTATGTTGAGTCTTGCCCATGTGCCGATAGTTGATGTGATCTCTCAGCTCACCTTTTGATTTATAACCTTTGTCGCACACCGAGCATTTGTATCTATATAAATAATTCATAACGTTATCTATAAATTAAAAAATAAAAACCCGACTGACAGCACCCGTACACTAAGGGGACGAATACGAATCGAATGAAACCTCTTACGTTAAAATCAATTAAATCTTTTGGGATACAATGAATCTAGCACGAATATTTGTGACAAACGTTATCATATCGTCATGGAGAATAATATTTTTGACTGCACAAATTTTAATACGCATTGCCGAAATCATAAATATTTCTAAACAAATGAATTCGATTATGTTTGAAAACCTAATCGATTAATTCACCAATCGATGTTTTAAAACAATCTCACCTCACTATGACGTTAAAATTGATAGATGTCAAATGTGACAGTGACAGATTAATTGTCAAGTTTAAAAAAAAAGGTTAGAATGTCTACTTACTTGTTTATATCAATAACAGCATGAGTTTTCGTGTATTTAAGATGATGTTCGTATGAAGCTTGACTGGCGAATGTCTTAACGCAAAGCGCACACGCGTAAGTATCGCGGGGCGCGTGCGTACGCGCATGCGCTCGCGACAGATCCGTGCGAACAAGTTTGTGACATATAGTGCATTCAACGCGAGGTTGTGGTGTTGTGTGTGTACTATACAGGAAATTATTACATTTATATCAGTGCTCATTAAAAACAATCAAAATTAGTAGTCCTATATTCTACATGTATACCAAATTTCATAGAGATCCGTAAGCCGTTCTAGAGATACCCTCTAACAGACATCCATCCATCTAAACATTCGCTTTTATATAGGTAATATTAGTAAAATTTATAAATCTGTCAACTGACTTGACTGACTTCCTCACTACAGTTAAAAAAAGTTGCCTATAATATGCCATGTAGCAGCTACCTTTCCATCAAAGCCTCATCAAAATTGGTCCAGTTGTTGCAGATATTACCCCAAACAAACATAGCAGTCAGTCAAAAAATTTTAAAATTTGGTTTTTACTTATTAGAAACGCACTCAATTTTATTAATATGCATAGAGTAAAAAGGTTTCACTTACATCTGATGCCTTGTTAAATTATTTTTGAAAGGAAATCTCTTCCCGCAAATTGTGCATTCAAAACCTTCCCTATGTGTTCGTTGTACATGAATCCATCTTGATTTTTTAGTTCTGAAAGATAAACAAGTTTTATTATTTAGCTGTAGCATGAGACTGTCCATGCGAAATTAAAAAAAAAACCTAATAGCCTATGTGTTCTTCCAGACTATATGTATCTTATCTTATATCTTTAAATTAGCAATTCTTGTATATATATATATAATTGGAATCTCGGAATCGGCTCCAACGATTTTCATAAAATTTATTATAAAGGTGGTTTCGGGGTCGATAAATCGATCTAGCTAGGAATCAGTTTTATCGATAATCAACTTAAACATAAACTTAACTTTCTCTATCGGTAAGATCGAAAATATTACTCATATTTCATCATTTTATTACTAATTCGTACTTAAATATAATTTCCAAAAAACATAATTGAAAAAAAAAAATACCAAGCAAAGCTCGATCATCTGGGTCCTATATATATATAATATATACTTTCAAACATCTATCCATCCATCCATTAGTAAGAAGTAAGATTAATACAATGATTACTTACTCAAAATATTTATTGCATTCAATGCATAAAAATCCAAAATCTGTAGGTGTGTCCATCATAGTTTTATTGCGTCTTGGTTTCGAACCTGGTTTCTTAATTATCTGCAAATAACTGTTGTATATGTTAATGATTAAATTACTATATTAAAAAAATATAAAAAAAAGAAATCAAAACAATATATAATCTGAGACCCAAAAAGGTAACTGTTGCCTCCGGCCAAATGGAATTAAAAAAAAAAAAAAAACAAGTAGCCTATGTGTTCTTTTAGATATATATCCTACATCTACGTCAAATTTGATAGAGATCCATTCAGGCGTTCCAGAGATATCTTCAAACAAACATCCATCTAAGCATTCGCTTTTATAATATTAGTAAAACTAGCTGTCGCCCGCAACTCCCTCCGAAATTTAAAAAAAACTTTATTAATAGCCTATATATTCTTCCAGTCTGTATTTTACACCTATATTAAATTTCAGCAAGATCCATGCAGCCGTTCTGGAGATATCTTCAAACAAAGGTTGCAGAGGTTACTTTTTAGCCCGAGTTTCTCGCTTATAAAGGTTGACCTTAGTGAACATTGACTTTTTTTATAAGAGAACGGGACAAACAAACAGTGGGAACACTGAGGTGTTATTCAACAATGGCTTACCTTTTTTTTATATCATAAAGTGGCAAACAAGCGAGTGGCCACCTGAAATCGCTGAAAGAGCGAAGTGACCGTTGCCCATAGACATACGCAATTGCATATGCGTTGCCTAACTTTAATCGACGGAGGAGAGGATGCACAGAAACAAAATATTTTCCCTTTCCATGCATCCTCTCATCCGGAAAGTCCACTTCCACTTCCCATCCTTTACTTAAAAGAAAAAGGTTGGGAAGGGAAAGAGGACTAAATTAGGCCTCCGGGACGGACTTATCTAGTTTTAAATTAATTTTATTCACCTTTTTATGATTTTCCATATGTCTGTCCAAATCAATTTGAACTTTAAATCCTTTAACGCATAATTCACATTTGAACGGTACATCTCTATTTGGAGATATCTTTTTGTTTATATTTTCAATTTCTTCATTTTTTATTGTTAAATCTTCCTTATTACTATTACTTAAAGGTTCATTTTCAATTGAATCTTTTATACAATTATTTTCTTCTAATTTTGCACTTTTTTTTAGTTTTATTGTATATTTCTCTACATGCTGATTATAATTATTATATTCAGATAAAGGTATCTCATCAGAATCAATGATTGTTTCAATTTTAACATACTTTATACCGCAATCAATAAAATTGTCTATATGTTCTTTATATATAAATGTGTAGTCGTATGTTTGTTTTAATGTACACGTCAGTTTTGATAACATTTTTATAGCTTTCTGAAATAGAATTAGAATTAAGATTTTTTTATTATAAAACTAGTTGTAGGCTGTGACTATTTAAAACATATTAGCCTATGTGTTCTTCCAGACTATGTTCTACGTCTATGCCAAATTTCAGAGAGATCCATTCAGCTGTTTATATAGGAAAGAGAAAAAGGCTGTTATTAGAGTTTTCTCGGAAATTATTAGAATTTTTCTCAATTTTTAAACCTTCCCTACACCTCTAGGAACATTTCAAGACCTACATAAGATAAATCCATTCAACCGTTCTTGAGTTTTAGTGAGAGTAACAAACAGCAATTTTTTTAATATATATAGAAGATATCATCATCATCATCAGCTCACTATATATCCCCACCGAGGGGCTCGGAGCCTACCCTAAGTTAAGGATGAATAGGCCATAGAATATATACTATATCTTAATTTTGATTTCCACATTACTCTGATTTTCTCTCTTCAAGTGTCATGTATGTATTATTCCAGTAATGTCAACCCACAATTATCTTATATAAGTTATCAGCGATTTTATCTAAATGAAATTTAAAAAAAAAATGATTAGTCTATGCTCTACATCTATGCCAAATAGATTCATACAGCCATGCTATAGTTACCTTGAAACAATTATCCATTTAATCTTTCACATTTATAATATTAGTTTAAAATTTTCAACAAAGCAACTTGACTGATTTTATGTAATTTTATATGAATATTCAGTAGATCATAGACAGCTAGTCTTAATAATATTATAAATGCAATAGATGGTTTAATAGATGGATGTATATTCAAAAGTATCTGCAGAATGGCATGATAAGTCTTGATGATATTTGGCATAGATGTAGAACATAATCTGGATGAACACTTAAACTTTTTAATTACTTTTTGATAGAGTCGTGGTCGACAGCAATTTATTTATAAAACATACTAACATATTGTCCTTCAACTAGACATGTCAGATGTCTCTGTGCGTCACAAGCCTGTTGTCTGAAGTTGCATATCCTTGTCATAATAGTATTACACTCCCAGCATATGTACAAACTTGCACCGTGTCTGTGGAAGCCTTCCTGTAATTTTAGATATCACTTATACACAATTCTGAACAAATTACAGTCAAAATTTGATAAGCTAGGAAGGAAGCTCTAAGGAATCATGATATTTTTCTTGCTTATAGAGGGTTTTCTCTTAAATAAGTTTCTCGCTTTTGAAGGTTGTCTATGGGGACTAGACAATGACTCTCGCTTTCAAAGGTTTCTCACTTATCCAGATTCAACTGTATTTTTATAGACAGTAAATGTAATAAGAAGTGTAGATGCAGTAAATTCTGGTTTCCATAGATTCTTAGGACAGTGTGGACCTGTTGACTGAGGCTTAATATTGGAACATGCTCATGCCCCCACATTGGGTACTTATATGCTATGACAATACACTCCTGGAACTATTAGTATGTAGCTCAGCCCCAAATAAAATTAATTTATAGTATTTAACGAAAATAGTAAAATTACCCTAAACGCTTCAGAATCAGATGACAACAACCAATACAAGTTGTTTATACCATTTTTAACTCTACACAATTGAAATAACTTTCGGTCTTCACTTAAACATGTACAGCATATCTTTTTTAATAAAATCTCTGAATTATCGTCCATTTTAATTCAAATTTTCTAGTGTTTTCTGAAAATTCTGGTAAGTTATACTAATCTTAAATAATCGTTTTATGTTGTACTGATCGGTAATTTTTTAAACAATAAAAGAATACCATTGAAATTAAATATTTTTAAATAAAACTTTTAAACGCAACAAATGTTTATAAATCTCTATTTACAAATATTATAAACTGACATTTGCTGACATTAATAAAAGAATAAACTGACAAGGCAAAGACTTGACATACAGACAAAAAGATAATTTTAGCATATTACCTGTTTGAATAAAAAGGCATTTTTAGTAAAAGATTTTTTCACATATGTACAGAAGAAATAAGATCGATTTTGCTAAGAAAGTTATTCTAATCGTTTTAATATTAAATCGAATTAATTGTTTGTTGCTTGCGAAACGAGTCAGGTATGGCAACACTATTCCTTCCGTCTGTTATGTGTACAAATGGCGGATACTTTTCTTGTTAAGCAATTATTGTATTCAAATAAACATATATTCTGTGATATGGATACGCACAAAGTGAATTATGGTGTAACATTGTGATGTAAAAGTGTTCTAATATTCCAATCGGACTTACAATAAAGTCAAAACATGGAAAATCATATGCACGAAGTTCCAATTTTAAATCAACATGAAGTACCGATTATGAATCCTCATATGAATTCCATGGTAATTCCTCAGCAACAACCGCAACAACAAACACAACAGCAACAGAACCATCAACAACAACCACAACAAAACCTCCAACAACAACAAAACCATCAACAACAACCATCTAATAACCAAATAAATCATCAAACAAACCCTGAAGCACCTACAGTAGTCACCGATGACTTAAAACCTAAATTAGAAAAGAAGAAAAAGGAAGCAATAGATGGACAAGCGAGGGAAATAATTTTTAAAGTGATAAAATTCTTTGAAAGTGAAAAACAAAACAGAGGTTATGCATATCCTGTAGACAATGTTGTTAAACGCGCTTGCGCTGCTACTGGCCTATCAGAGAGCACAATAAAAAGAATAAAAAGGGACGGATTACGCGCCGAAGCGACCCACACTAAAATGACAGGACCTAAGAAGAAAAGAGTTAGAAAAACTAAAGTTCAACTAGATTATTTCCAATTGTGTGCTTTAAGAGGCATCGTTAATAGTTATGGTGGTAGGAAAGAAGTACCTACGTTAGGTAAGATTTTAGCTGCTGCAAAACACGAATTAAACTACAGAGGTGGTAAGGAATCTCTAAGATTGATATTATTAAACAAATTAGGTATTAAATTTAAGAAATGTGAAAAAAAAAATAAGAAACCTCCAGAACAAAATGTACTACCAATGCAACAGTTACCAAATGTGATACATCCACCTATGCAGCAAGTTAAGCCAGTTGAGAACCAGTATATGTACAATAATATGATGCCACAAGTCCCTCCAGTATCATATTAACATTTAGTGCTGGCACACCAGAGAAGGAAAAAGTAACATTCAGCAAAAATAATCTATACGAAAAATAAAATAGAATGCTGGCCAGTACATTTAATACTAAAGAGGTTTTACATCAATTACATTGAAAGGGACAATACAAGGAATGGTTGATTTGAAGAGATAACAACATGTTTGAAATAAATATTTTGGTTTTAGAAATTCACAGTGAATGTTACTTATAGAGGGTGCTTCTTTTACATTTGAAAGAAAACAGTGATATGGATTGTTGAAATTAAAGTTTGCGGAACAAAGTGATAGTGTTTCAATAAAACATTTAAAGACATGAAAACTGTGTGTAACATGCAAATAAGGAATTATATAGTTTAAAGGTAGTTTATTGATTTATTTTCTTAATAATAAGCTGTATATAAACATTATGGTTGCTAAACTAATAATTAAGTGAATTTGGGATGTGTTCATCAGTACACTATATGTCCCCACTGAGGGTTTCGGAGCCTACCCTAAGTTAGACCATGTGATAGTGAATGCTGGCCTAGTGCAAGACTTCACACATATCTTTGCCTTTTTCAGATATATTCAGCATCACAATGATACAAACATCAATATGTTTGTATCATTGTGATGCTGATCCCGCTATGTACCAATGTACATAGCGGGATTTGAACCCAGAACTTACAAAACTTAACCCCTGAGCCGGTGATGCTCTTATTGGAATTCTGGGATGTGTTATCAACTTGTTATTCATACATTTAGTAAAGTCCCAAAATACTGGGGCAGAGAGAAAAGAAACCAGTGATTTCTATGTAAATTTATATTGAATTCCTTCTTAAAAATCCTTGCCTAGGTGTGTTTAATAGGTAAAGTTCCTGACACCATCACAAATTATACAAACAAGATAATATTTTAGGGTTGAATAATGTGAAATTATATGTAAATATATAGTTTGAATTTGTAATGCCGAAATATTTACTTAAAAACAAGTAACTCTTCAGATATTATTGTTAATGTATGTGTCCATTGTCCCGCGATGGACGCACCTCATACAGATCAAACGGATTTGCTTTGTCTTTTAATCACTGCAGATGATGGACGCAACGCTATGTCAAATCATACAAACCAAAGTAAAATCCGTTACGTACTGTGCGTGCGGTGCGTCTGGCGCGGAATAATGGACACATACCTTTGCACTTACATGTTTAACATCATTGTTTCTTCTTTCAAATGTGAATGATAGTAATGACAATATGTTTTGTTGAAGAAATTCATAGTTTTTATGTGAATATTTCAAAATTGTAAACATAGGGTCCGTACACAATGGATCGGTGAGAAGTATAGATTTTGATTGTAAATAAAATATAACCTTTAGAAGATTGAAATAAATTTTATTTTAATTAAAAGCATCATCTGTTTAGTGTAATACAATGAGACCGGGTCCAATTGTGTTCTCTTCCCGTACCGACAACAATCACCATTTTACTGTGCGATATTTATGGTAAACCTTTGAAGAGTAGCATTTCGGCTTCCAACGAATTGCTTTAAACTACGCTATTCCTGCTGGTCTGTGAAATCATTTGGTTGTACCCAAAATCCATGCCGGACTGTGTGTACGGACCCTTATAATAAAGATCCATTAAAGAAAGTAGCTTTAAATTGAATATAAGTCTATAAAAGGATATTAGTACTAAAATAATGATAGTTATTTTGAATTTCATAATAAGAAATGCGAGTTAGGTATTTTGCAAGGCATTTTTATATTTTACATATAGTATACACATATGTTGTGGTATAACATAGTATGGAGGAAATACACTGTCTAACCTTACTGAATAAGCGAGAAATTTCTATAAGTGAGACATTTGTCCCAAACTATATGTGAGTAACATTTCTTGGTCTCTCGCTTATCCAGTTTGTTTCATGTTTCAGAAAATATCTAGGAAAAGATATACAAAAGATATTTTTTTTTATAATTTATTGCTTATAGGCTTTTTAAAAGACACAAAATTTAAATGTTGATGATAATGATAAAAACTGATTATGTCCTAATACATAATTTTTACTAATTACAATACAAAATGTATGATAAGGCTGAATAATATATGTATAATTAGAAATTTAATAAAACTATTATTAAATTTATATATTAGTTTATTTTACATTACGGAATTGAAATATTAAAATTAAATTGATTTTAACGTACGTCTTTTAAACCTCAAAAGAAGATACACACAACACAATATCCTACATAGTAAGTCATCATCAGCTCACTATTCCCGCTGAGGGTTTCGGAGTCTACCCTAAGTGAGAATATGTGATAGTGAATGCTGGTCCAGTGCAAGACTTCACACATATCTTTGACTTAGGTAACAACATAGGATAAATGTACATATATATAAACACATTGCATTCGAACCCGAAACTATATTATATTAGTAGATTACAAGTTAAGTGCTTTAACCGCTAAGTCACCAACACTCTAAAGTCACATGTAAAGAATCAAATTACCTTCCCACTTAGGACAAAATATCATACAACTGTCATATGGACCTTACTATAAAAAAATAGACTTTCTTCTAGCTTAAACATATGTTAACCATTTTATACCGTGACTATAACGGCCAGCACGGTGGTGAGGGCTGCAGAGACAGGAACCGTCTCAAGATGCGTGCGGTTTCTAGGATAACTGCTTTTTGTATTGGGTCCTTAATCCAATTGTTTAGCGAGAGCTTCTTGACATGTTGGTCTGTCCATTTAATGTTATTATAAGACCGATTCTCGATAGTTCACAGCTACTCGTGCGTGATGGTTCGACACTATGACCGTCCATTAAGTACAACATTAAACCTCATACAAAATTAATTCTATATTTCATAGACGTCAGTTGTCAAACTCATCTATCTTAAATAGACACAATATAAGTTAAATTTTTTGGAATAATACAGTATTAAGTTTTAATATTATTTTAAGTGTTAAATACCACAGAAATTGATAGAATGTAATCCTTTTAATAATTTCTTTTAATTTGTTTTATGTTTTGCTTTCTCATGGGTCTTTTTGGCAGAATTTTGAGCAAACGCTGCCGGACAAAAAGAACATTGGTATGGTTTCTCTCCAGTATGAGTTCGTTTATGATTGTTGAGAATTGTATTTACCTGGAAATTGATTACATTTTAATTATATCATCATCATCATCATCAGCTCACTATACGTCCCCACCGAGGGGATCGGAGTCTACCCTAAGTTAAGGGTGATTAGGCCATAGTCAAACACGCTGGCCAAGTGCGGGTTGGTTGACTTCACACATATCTTTGAATTACTTCACAGATATGTTCAGGTTGCATCACGATGTTTTCCTTCACCGTAAGAACGTCAGATAAATGTACATATGTAAATCAGAAATAGAAAAACACATTGGTACATGGCGGGATTCGAACCCAGGACATGCAGATTGCAAGTCAAGTGCTTGACCACTGAGCCACCGACGCTCTTCTTCTTTAATTATATACATGACTTTAAAATACTTAGTGTTAATTTAATGCCATATCTTACTAATATTTATATGAATCTGAATTAGAAAAAAATGTTTAGTCTATGTGTTCTTCTAGACTATGTTCTACATCTATGACAAATTTCATCAAGATCTGTTGAGCTGTTTTGACGATACAAACATCAATCCATCTAAACATTCGCATTTATAATATTAGTAAGTCATTATAAATGTGAATGTTTGGATGTATGGATGTTTGTCAGAAGGTATCTCTAAAACAGCTGAATGGATCATGTTTAAATTTGGTATACATATAGAACATAGTCTGGAAGAACACATAGACTACTATTTTTTTTTACTACTACAGACTTTAATTATGGATGTCTACTCACTGTTGCTTCGCCATTTCGGCGAACTTAAGTGACCGCTTACTCTATGGCATTGGATTTTTTTTTTATCTATGATCAGTTTTTTTTTCTTGTAATATAAAAAATACTTACCCTAAAGCCTTTTCCACAAATGTCACATATCTTATCTTTTGGTGGATATTTCTTCTCGTGGACACTCTCTCTATGAGTGCGTAGAGAAAATGCCGAACTAAAATACTGAAACAATAATTTACCGTTAAATTTTAAACTCAGTCAGTTTACAACCTAACTAATAATAAAATGAAAAATTGTTAATGCCAAAGACATCATCATCAGCTCACTATACGTTCCCACTGAGGTGCTCGGAACCTACCCTAAGTTAAGAGTGTCTGGGCCATAGTCATCCACGCTGGCCAAGTGCGGGTTGACTTCATACATATCTTTGACTTTCTCAGATATGTGCAGCATCACGATGATTTCCTTCACAGTAAGAAAGACAAAAACATATCTTACTAATATTATAAATGCGAATGTTTAGATGTTTGTTAGAAGATATCTCCAGAACAGCTGAATGGATCTTGATGAAATTTGTCATAAATATAGAACATAGTCTGGAAGAACACATAGACTAATTCTTTTTAATACAACGCGGACGTAGTCGCGGGTCAGTATTAGTATATCTTAATTACCTTATTACAAATATCACAATAATGTTGAGATTTCTTCATATGAACTAACTGGTAATGATTACTCATATAAACTTTTCTACTAAAAGTTTTTCCACAATCAGGACAAGGGAAACTGAAAAATACAATTCAGAAGTTAAAAAAAAAAGTGAAATATCATTTTAAAAAAAATATCAAAAAAGGTTTTATATATGACAGTGCTATTTTATAATGTCACATTTGAATAAATGGATAGGCGATTGATTGAAAATGGTAGCTCTTGCTTAGTCCGCGCCAAAAGTGGTAAGAATCAAATAGGCACAAAATACAAAGTCTTATAGCCAGTCTATATATAGAGGTCAGTGCATTTGACATTTTACCAAATGCGAATGCAAAACGCAACCGTGTGACGTTGGTCATAATTTTTTATAATAACTTATAGCACAATTTTCTAAAAAAATCGATTGAATATTTATTGTAATAATTAAATAAACGACATTACAATTTTACGTGAGTCTCTCTCATTTTATTTTTAAACAATGATGTAAGAAAATCGATCTTTCTTAAGAACTGAATTCGATTAACGTACCTTTAATCGACGGAGGAGAGGATGCACAGAAAGAAAATATCTTCCCTTTCCGTGCATCCTCTCATCCGAAAAGTTCACTTCCACTTCCCATCCTTTCCTTAAAAGAAAAAGGGTGGGAAGGGAAAGAAGACTAAATTAGGTCTCCGGTACACACACTCATCAGACTGTAGTTGGAATTGCTTCCACTTGACGCCTGTCTTATGTGTGAAGACAATTCGTGAGAAGATGTTAAAGCGGGCTCTACCACTATTATTGACATTGAGATGGGGCTATTAGTTTGTATGGCCATATTGACCATAGACCATCAAGTGATACTTTTAAAAGATATTCGAATCAGTTGACGCAAGCGCGCTTTCGTTGCCAAGTCAAGCTGTCAGATGTAATGAGGGGACATAAACGTTGATATTTAACTAAAGCTAATGTTGCGCCGATACATCGGAAGTGTCGTATTTTCTTCCTAATACATACCTGACTGTTAACGGTGATTTATGTTGGACTGCAGTTCTAAGATGATTTTGATATTTCTCAACAGAATCATATTGTTTGTCACATTCGACACAATAAGACAACTCAGGTGCGTTACCATCAAAATGCTTATCAGGACGACAGATACGTTTATGAGCGCCTAAACTGTGCGCCGATTTACAAACTTGTCCACAAATATCACATTTCCTAGGTAGATGTTTATATCTGTCAAAATTTGAAAATAAATACATTTGGCAGCTGTCATTTCATCATCAGCTCGCTACGTACCCACTTAGGGGCTCGGAGTCTACCCTAAGTTAAGGGTTATTAAGCTATAGTCAACCACATTAGGCAAGTGCGGGTTGACTTCACACATATCTTTGACTTTCTTAGATATGTGCAGCATCACGATGTTTTCCTTCACCGTAACAACATAAGATAAATGTACATATGTAAATTGGAAATAGAAAAACATTGGTACATATCGGGATTCGAATCCAAGACCTGCAGATTGCATATCAAGTGCTTAACCCCTAACCCACCGATACCTTGTAATCATCATCATAATCAGCTCACTATATGTCCCCACCGAGGGGCTCGGAGCCTACCCTAAGTTAAGGGTTATTAAGCTATAGTCAACCACATTAGGCAAGTGCGGGTTGACTTCACACATATCTTTGACTTTCTCAGATATGTGCATGACGATGTTTTCCTTCACCGTAAGAACGTCGGATAAATGTACATATGTAAATCGGAAATCGAAAAACGGCGGGATTTGAACCCAGGACCTGCAGATTGCAAGTCAAGTGATTGACGACTGAGCCACCGACGCTCCTATACCTTGTAATATTAAAAAGAAATTACTTAAAAATTAAAATACTTACATCATATGTTGTTCAAGTTGGTTCTTCCGATTGTAAGTCTTCCCACAATGGTCACAAATACAAAGAAGATGATGAGCCTCATCGTAATGGCGAAATATATCTCGGCAAAGGCTAAAATACTAATTATATTATTGTACAAGTAAATACAATAAACACTGGGTAAGAAAATCTTTTTTTTTTTATATCATAAGATGGCAAACGAGCGAGTCACCTAAAATCGCTGAAATAGCGAAGTGACTGCCCATAGACATACGCAATTGCATATGCGTTGCCTACCTCGCGTCTTCTGAACAGAACTATTTTTTCTTGCTTATACAGGTTTCTCTCTTACTCTAGTTACTCGCTAATGGATGTTCATTATTTGAGACATTACTAGCTGTCGCCCGCGACTCCGTCCGCGCGGTTATAAAATATAGATAGATAGATAAATATAAAATTCTCGTGTCACAATTTTCGTTCCTATATTCCTCCGAAACGGCTTGACCGATTCTCATGAAATTTTGTGAGCATATTGAGTAGGTCTGAAAATCGGACGACATCTATTTTTAATCCCGCGCGGACAGAGTCGCGGGCGACAGCTACTTTTTATATATGCAACAAAAAGTAAAAATGTATTTTTACCTGTATGTATGTTTTGTATGTAAATTTTATAACATCCTGTAGTGTAAGCGACTGAAACTTTCAACTGAACAATGCAGACAAAGTATTTTTTTTTTTCTTTTGAATCGGACTGATAAAAGATTTTTCACATAATTATTTAGAACTTGTATGTCTGAACAGATCTTAATGTGTGAGGTGTCATTTGATTCGTATTCATCTCCTGAGTTATATACAGGCTGATGTTTTTTTTTTTATTTTTTTTTAATACTTACTAAAAATCTTTCCCGCACTCCAAACATTGGAATATGTATTTGTGTTTCCTTATCAAATGTTGTATGATTTCACTTTTATCCGTAGACACGTCTGGACATAGAAGACATTTATACATTTTGTGCGTCTTCCAATGTTTATGTAACTTTGTTAGACTTTGAGCTTTATAATTAAGACATTCGCAACATGTATAGGGACCTCTAACCTGTAATACCAATTTATATAACAGCTATCGTTTAAAAACATTTAATTTATAGTCTATGTGTTCTTCCACACTAAAGTTAACACGTTAGCTGCCAAAATGATTTTTCGAAAAACGAAAAAAAAAAATTTTTTATAATAATTTTGTCAAAAACCATTTAAAAAGACCTAAAAATATAGTAATACCTTATTTACATTGCTCATATACTTATTATTTACATATTTACAATTCGTCGGACATATAGTCCGCTACAGCCTTGCAGGTCACGCTGTATACAACAATTCGATTAAAAAGCGTCCGACAAGCCACAGCGAGGTGTTGAATGGAAGTATGGCTTGTAGGACACATATTCCGACATGGCAGCTAACGTGTTAATGTAACTTTTAAACAAAAAGAGTTGGATTTTTTAAAATTTATTGAATTTTGGGACATGCTGTATATTACTAGTATCTGCCCGCGACTCTATCCAAGCAGATTAAAAATAAAAAATAATTAGTAGCCTATGTGTTCTTCCATGTTATGTTCTACATTTATACCAAATTTAATCAAAGTCCTTTGAGCAGTAACAAACATCCATCCAACTAAACATTCACATTTTTAAATCTTACTAATATCATAAATGCGAATGTTAAGATGGATATATGTTAGAAGTGAGAGCGTCGGTGGATCAGGGGTTTAAGCATTTGACTTGCAATTTACAAGTTCCGGGTTCGAATCCCGCCAAGTACCAATGTTTTTCTATTTCAAATTTACATATGTACATTTATCCTATGTTCTTACGGTGAAGGAAAACATCATGATGATGCACATATCTGAGAAAGTCAAAGATATGTGAAGTCAACCCGCATTTGGCCAGCGTGGTTGACTATGGCCTAGCCCTAACTTATGGTAGGCTCCGAGCCCCTCGATGGGGATCTATAGTGAGCTGATAATGATGTGAGAAGGTGTCTCCAGAATGGTTGAATGGATGGAACATAGTCTGGAAGAACACATAGGATACTAAGTAATTTTTATACCACTCGGATGGAGTTGCAGGCGATAGTTAAAACAAAATATTACTTACAGGCAAATGTTTCAAAGTGTTATGTCTTTCTTTATCAATTTCTCTATTAAACTTTACCATACATAATATACATTTATATTTAGGTTTTGCTAAATATTTCAAAGACATTCTTCTATCGTAAATCTCTTCTAGAACTTGCTCATTAACATCACTTGTAAAATAATATCTTTCCATATTTATAGTATTTCTGTTAATCAATTCTCTTTTTGTATATCTACAAGGTCTTAATTCAGCTACAACTTTCTTTTTTTTCCTTTTTTTCACTTTATAATCTTTATTAGCTTCATCGCTATAATCAAATGTGTCTGTCTGTATGTCTTCCGATTTGATTTTTGTTATATCTATTTGATTGTTACCTTTTGTTTTATTATATGCTTCAGATTCGTTTTGGTTTGTCTCGTTTTTAAATTCATCAAATAAATTATCTTTAATAATTAATTGTTCGGTGTCCTGTTCAATAATTTCATCGAGAATTTCTTCTTTTGGTTCAATTAATATTTCTTCATCATTTAAAGGTACTTCATCGTGTTCTCTGTGTATTTCTAATTTAATTTTATCTCCATTGTAACTTTCATATACAATTTCACAATTATTATCAATAATTTTTGATTGTAACGTTGATAGACAAGACGTGGAATGATTCTGGAATAAATTAAAATATTAAAAATAGCTGTCTACTTATATAATACATAGTCTGTGTATAAATCTTACTCTTACTAATATTATAAATACAAAAGTTTGGATGGATGTCCAGATTGGCTCAACAGATCATGATGAAATTTGGCATACATATAGAACATAGTCTGCAAGAACACATAGGCTAATAAGTTTTTTCATTACTGCATGGATGGAGTCGCATGTGGCAGCTGGTTTATGCTACATAATATGATTTTAAAAGTATTAATATTAAGTGCGAGCTAAAATATTAATTATGTCCGAATCACTTTAGCACTAGAGAGAAACCACTGCGGTTTATATATTAAAGATATATTTTTATTGTAAAATGAAAAAAAAAACTTAAGTCAAACTTACAAGATAAAATTCAGGTGTTTGCAACAGCAACTGAGCCTGCTGGATCCTCTCTCGGAATCTCCGAGTCTTCTTCAAAATACTTCTGCACTCCCAACAAAGAAGTACAATGTTGTATATCATACATGTCTGTGAAATGAGTATTTTTCTTTTTAACTTAACAGAAATGGAAAGGTTTGTATGGATAGTGATGATTTAAAATGGTTGTTGTTTCGGAGCCTATTCAATGCAAGGAATCAAATCTTTGTTTATAATATTACAAATGTGAATATTTAGATGGATGATGGAAGACATCTTCAGAACAGAGCACAAGGGATCTTGATTAAATTTCGTACAGATGTAAAACAACATGTTTAACAGTGGAAGAGCCCACTTTAACATCTTCGCTCGAATTGGCCCAGAGGATGCATGGAAAGGGAATTTTCTTTCTGTGCATCATCTCCTCCGTCGATTAAAGGTAGGCAACACATATGCAATTGCGTATGTTTATGGGCAACGGTCACTTCGCTATTTCAGGTGGCCGCTCGCTCGTTTGCCACCTTTTGATATAAAAAAAAAACATAGTCTGGAATAACATATAAGCTACTCAGTATGTTTTTGCTTAATTCGACGCGGATAGAGTTGAGGGCGATAGCTAGTTAGTTTATGATTCCATGGTGAACTTTAGTTTTAAATATTATATTTTAAGGGCGTATATATAGGTATGTTTTAAACGCGTATTTACTATATTTGATGGATACAAGACAGAGAGATTTTTATAACAACGTAAATCGCACCCGTAATCTAGAAATAATGCAAAAAATACGTTCATCCATTTGACATAGTCCTGGCACACAACAGATAACTTGCTTCATTATTAAAATATATAAAATATAATTACCTGTGGTTTTAAAATATAAAACAGATCTGACAATTCACCTAAAGGAGCTACATTTCGATTGAAACTTAAACAACCATAACAAAAATTAACTACTTCCTCTTTAATATTCATTTTTATGCTAGAATTTAATTAAATCCCTTTTAATTATATAGATTTTTTTTAGTAACCAATATACATATATACGCATATTATAAAACATTATTTACGAAAATAAAAACGAATACGAGAAAAAAACGATAATCAACTTGAAATTGACATAAACATCAGTGTTTCTAGATGCGTGCCAGTGTTTATTTTGAGCGTTACCACAAAGAGTATATTAAATGGTTACTATTGGGTTACAATCAGTTACTGTCTTGGATAGATTGTATAAAAAGTGTAAAAGTTTTTGATGTACAAGAGATTTGAAAGTTAAAATATGAGATTTTTACATACTTTTTATATGCACGATGTTTTTTACGGATGGTTTTACTATGGATCTTTTTGGATTTTATTTTATTTACAGTATTTGACAAAGAGTATATAAAATGGAATTTGAAATAAGTTCTTTTGCTCTTTGAAATCAAACATCAATTTTATCCAGCGAGTTTGAAATTTGCTCTGTGGTAAAATTAGACAATTCTCTTTCCTTTTGTTGGGTTTTGTCGTTTTATTTTTTGCATATTGCATATTTAAATAATTTAACAATCCGCACGTTTTTTTATTGCATTTTTGTGAAAAAATTGTTTATTATTTACATATATGTATAACAGATTAAACAAAAAAATGGAAAAAATTTAGTTCACAATGCCGGACTTCTTGAACGTCATTAGAGATGGTTGGCCATTATCACCAAGAGATTTTCGAAAAGTCTTACGTTGGTATTAGTTAAAGTTTTGTTCAATTTAATCTGATGAAATCAGTTGATATTAATACTTTGTTTTGTTTGTTCAAATTTGGTCGATTGTGTCAAGGTTTTGTTAGTTTTTTCCACAATTCTCACTTATTATTCAAAGTCAAAAGGTTATTGGCTCATTGAGGTAGCTTTGTTTCTTGTTTTTTTGTATCAAGAGACAGTGTTATGGTATTTTTGTTCTGTCAGTTTTTGGATTGCATGGCTGGTGCGTCTCGTTTATCTTTTGGTCGGACTCCAGTATTTTGTCTTAACACATAAAATAACTATTGTAGTATTTTGTGCTTATAATTGCAATGTAATTCTATAATTTGGTTATTATAGAACCTCTATCTTTGACTTATGTTCTACAATTTACACAAAATTATCCTGCCATATCCAATCTTCCATTTGCCATTTTTCTAATTAAAGAATTGGATAGATTAGTGTATTAAGCAGTGGCAGAGATGTGCAGAAAAAGGGAATATCTTCATCTTTATATTCAAAAGTACAAAAACTCATAGGGTATAAGTGTATCCATTGGTCGGTTAGTTTGATTAAAAAACATTAAACTACAGATATCACTTACCCTTAAATGCATAATAAAAGATTTTTACTCAATAAAAAATAGTTTTTCTCATAAACGCTTAACATTTACTGAAAAAAAATAAAAAATCTATATTATTGGCAACATTTATTTTATTATAAAAAATATTTTTGTACCGTTTTCGATATAATTAGCATTAGCTTCACAAAATAATCATGATTTTACAAAGTTGAAGAATTTTGAAAATGTGTTAAACAATCTTTATTTCTTAACATAAGTGAGAAATATTATTAAGAAGGATCAAACAGTATATCTAAACAAAAGATGTGTACTTAGTTGGTAATGTCAATGGGTTACTTAGATATTGTAATTAAGTGGCTGCCTCGACTGTCAAGATGTCATCATCTCCATGATGTCCCACTTACATAGGGTTGTTCAAACTGGTTTATTTGTACATTTTGCCTTTTTCAGTCATTGTTACATACAATTTGTTTATAAGAAAATATATTTAAGATATATTTTATTGTACATCCTTATTTCTATAATATATGAAATAAAATATTAAAAAAAAAACGAATAATTCACTAAAATATGTTATTAAAAGGAGTACCTTTAGGCAAGGTCCCGAAGATACTGGCAGCGTTCCCCCTCTGTACAGCTAAACTAATTCTTTGACCGAGTTAGCTGCCAGCTCTTCGGTCCCCTGTGATGTTGATTAATCTTTATGTGTTATTTATTGAAATAGAGGAAAAAATTGGTTTCCGTCTTCCAAAATCAGTCTACCGTCAACTCAAATGACACCTCACAATCCATATTATAAATAAATAAAAACTTCTTTCTTGTCATGATAACAGAAATACAACATATACAGTTACAAAAAAATATGACAGTGGGTTGCAGGCTTAGTGTGAACCACACCTACCCTTTGTGAATATGGGATGACATGAGATCGGATTTCTTGCTCAACTTAACTGCAGTTATTGTCCTTTAGTTCCAGATCAGCAGCTCTGTTTTGCCCAACAAGCTACCGCTCCATATTGAATCCGTGTATTTGGGCTTCCATAACAATCAGTACCGTGGATGCGTTCTATAAAACGTTCTCCTTTAATATCCATACACTGACACGTCTGACATAGCTAAAATACTTAACAATATTCTCATCTGTAGAGTACTGTCCTCCAATTGTCTATGGTCCTGTCCTGCTGCCCGGTGTACCTTTGATACTTTTAAACGAATAACTCGCATTCTAGAATGATGCTCGTCCTCGTGGAGTCGATTCCGAATGGTTTGATCACTAACGCCAATGCCAATGGATTCCCTTAGTCGGGGTTTTTGACCGCGCAGTCAGTCGGATGTACCGGTTTTCTTGAGCGGTTTTAGCTCCTTACTGATGCAGGTCTTACCACACTACCTTTCTCATGGAACTGCTTTCATACGTTTCAAATAGCCGTGACACACTAGAGAAAAGAACTGCATAAGAAAGATCAGTGACTGAATAAGAAAAAACAGATTTGACAGATGCCGCCAAAACAAAATGGCCGCCACAGATTGTAAACATCGACCCGTTCTTGTTGAAAGATCCTTTGTAATGAAAAGCCACAGAGCAGGAGGCATGTAGATCACATTTATTCATTTATTCTCAGGCACAAAGGAAGCAAGGGAACCTTTTCCAAATTCCAAAAAATCTTTCGACTATACTTCTTGTGCTTATTTGAATACTTGTAATTCATTTCTGCATTATTGCAAGAGTGATTTGGTTGCAACATTGGTGTTAATAAAAATGTCATGGGTCCCAGTGTAATCAACCAACACTTCTAGTTCCCTGCAACTCTGTTCCTGAAGATCGGACTGTCGTGTTATTTTCCAGGCCACTTTGCAAGGTTATAAATTTCAGAATTATGTCATATACTTTTCTGTTTGTATATGTTTCTGGGTGAGCAGTAGCTCATGGTTTCCGATACAACATGTTTACTACTCACAGACACAAATAGTAGATTTTAAGGGCCTTACAAAGACTTTAAGGCACTGTTACAAAGACATAAAGAATTTTCCAAATTATGGTCAGTCAATCTTGTACGATGTGTTGACTTATTAACTTTTATCAAAGAAGAGAACTGTTCGCATTTATAAATACTGCCAAACGCACAAATCAATCTTCTTGAAAATTGTCACTTTCTACTCGTAAGTATTTTTTGTAGAAATAACATAACTTTACGTCTTCAAATTTGGATTTTAAGAGTGAGTTTTCTTGAATCTCGATCAACTCCATTTTTATGTGTATTGGAGCATTTTGTACATTTTATTTTGTCTTCGCAACTGTTGCAACGCTGCTCCATCCGAATTCTTTTGCGATGGTCTCGATATTGCTGCACTACGACTTATCGTGTAGGTCGATTGTAGGTCGGTAGGATTTTACATTTTTTTTAAAGTTATTCTTACCAATATCTGTTAGAGTAACAGTTACAATTGTTCGCAATTCTATTTATTGGTGATCGCATACCAGCTTTTGTTAATTCACTATGAAAGTGTAGTTTTTACCTGTCAAATCTTTTGAAGAATATACACAACTTATATTTAACATGATCAGATGATTTCCAACGACGTCGACTGTGTTTTGTCCAAGTCGGCTTGTTTTTTTAATGGCAGTCTTGTTCTTCCTGACATGTTTTGGGTCAGAGACCTGGGGTACAGGTGTTCTTTATTTCTTTATTAAAAAAATTTAAGACTTTGCGTATCGTTTCCCCGTCCCTGTAGCGTACGATGATGCCTGGTTTCAATTAAATATCACTCAGCACTTTGACTTGTTGATGACTAAACTTTAGCGTGCGAATACATTCGCGGACTGCGTTTAAATGTACTTAGTGCATTTTAAAGTAGTGATAATATTTTTTTGTGAAATCGATAATAGACTTGAAATAATCATCATCATCATCAGCTTAAACTTGTCCACTGCTGGACGTAGGCCTCCCCCATCGATTGCCACAATGCCTGGTCTTGTGCCAATAATACGACAATGTTTTTATAGTACAATTTATTAAAACTACAAAATGAAATTAATAAAATATATTATTATTAAATCGTTAAATTTGCAATTTTTTCATACGACGAAAGTTAAATACTCCATCAATGAGACGAGAGCTTGAATTTGGGAAACTAATCAATCGATATTGGGATTGATTCCACTGTTACAAAGACTTAAAGAATTTCCCAAATTATCGTCAGTCAATCTTGTACGATGTGTTGATTTATTAACTTATCAAAGAAAAGAACTGTTCGCATTTATAAATACTGCCAAACGCACAAATCAATCTTCTTGAAAATTTGCAGTTTCTAAGTATTTTTTGTATAGAAATAAAATAACTTTACGTCTACAAATTTGATTTTAAGAGTGAGTTTTCTTGAATCTCGATCAACTCCATTTTTATGTGTATTGGAGCATTTTGTACATTATATTTT